TTGGGGGACAAGACCTGAATTCTAACAGTGACCTCTGAAGTCAGTGCTAACACTTTGCCGGTGAGGACACAAAGACCCAGAGATGTGAAGTGACTTATCCAAGATCACACAGCAAGAGTCAGGATTCCAACTCCGGCCTGAAATGGCATATCTGCAAGATTCACTTTGAAATATCGCCCAGTGGGGGAGTAAATGAGAGTGCCGACGAGGCAGGACGGGATTGATAATGGCTGTTGCAGTTAGGGCAGAACATTACTATTCTGTCCGCTCTTAGGACTGCCAAGAATTCTCGTGAAAAGTAAAGACAGAAAGCTCCCGAGGTCCTGACTCGGACACTGGAGCGGTCTCTGCAGTTCCACGGTTCTGCTCTGGAGGCAAGGACCTGGCCTCTTCTCTTTGTAGGCTGCGTTAGGAGACCCATCAAGAAAACTCGTAACAGCAGGCTCCCATGTTTTAGCTTTCATTTTGCAGACAACTTTGAAGTTTGAACTAGAAAAAGATTCCGACTGTAAACAAGGGAATATTTTCTTTAACATTTGGACAGAGCCTTTGGGGGTTGTTGTAGGCAAAGCCACAGAGGGATAGAGAGGTCCTGGCAGGGTGGAAGAGAATGACCACCAACCATTAGGCTGGGTTAACTACGCACGGATTCATTTTACACCTCTGTGTTCTATGATTTAATATAAAACTTGGTGGTGATTCTGAGTGTAAAAGTTAGCTAAAACCTAAGTTGGAACAAGATGGGCATTATATGAGCTCACAGTTTTTAAGTTTCACCGATGATCTGAACTGTGCCTAAATGAGAGAGGCCCTGCCTGGAGGGGTCGGGTACCCCTAAACGTGTCACACAGCCCCAAGTCACAGCGAAAACCAGGCTAGACACAAAACCCTGGGAACAATGTTCCTCTAACCCTTTCCCATATGCAGCACAGGCTGTGCGTTGTGTAACTCCGAGAGGGGCCGTTGACATATTCTAGAACACGCTCAACGCCCCACAGTGACAGAATGCAGAGGCCTGGCATTTGAATCTACATCCTGCCTGGGGGGACAAGGTGACGGCTTCTGCACCAGGGTTTAGAACACAGTAGTTCCCTTCCTCTCCTTACCCACTCAGCCAGTATTTCTGTTCTTTTCCTCCGAGGTGCTCAGTTTTTGGTAGGCACTCCCCCCATCCTCTAAGAGCCCCCTGCAAAAGGTACTGAGAGCGAGAATAATGAAGACATAATGGCCAGTGAGAGGGGATATAATGGAGACATAACTTGTTCTGAGTCCCCTGAATCTCTCCTCCCTGCTCCTTCCTCCCCCACACAGTGGTTCCTCCACTTCCCATATAGGCCCAAGTTACTTACGGGGAGGTCTCCATCCAGCAAGGCTGGGCCCTTGTTGACGGCCGTCATAGCTCTTCAAGCTGCAAAGCAGAGGCCCAGGTCCATTAGAAAGCCCTGAGCTTGAGATCTGCAGGGTCAGTCCCCTACCTCTCATGGTTCTGGCGAGGCCCAGGCTGCTGGGGAGCTCCAGCTCTCTCACCAGAAGACATTAGGTCGCAGAGCACGAATGTCACAGACAAGCAGCCACAACGTAGACCCCACTGTGGGGAGCTGCCCCACAGCCTACTTGTTAACTGAAGTTTCTTATAAGGGTTCAGGGTAAGAAATGACAAATAAGGGTAGCTTTAAGAAATGAGGGGTTTTAGATGATGGTAAGGGGTCCGCACATGAGAATCCAAAAGAGACTAAAAGAATAAATTTCAGGGTTAGTCTTTTTTTGATGAAAAAGTTCTACATCAATTTCTCTCCTTTTAAGTGAGCGTACCTGCCAGTACTTCCCAGAACGCTCAACGAGGAAGCAACTCGTCACTTAAAACCAGCCATTCCGGCTGTGTTCTGGGAAAGCTGGCACCCCAGAATATCTACCCTCCACCCCTGGTCATTCGCCTTGAATCATCTCTCCCTCAGTGGTTTCCCTTCAGGCCTCTTCATCTTCAGGGCAACTCTCAGGGGACCCCCTACCTTCAGCTTCGTTCCTTTAACTCTCGAAAACCAACCAGGTATGGCGGATGCTCGCAGGGCCCCACACTCACGCGAACGGACGCTGCCTCAGTCCCACACAGCCAGGCTGCGAGTGGCTCCCCCCAGCAGAAGCAACGCCAGCGGCTCCAGGGACGCCTTGGGCAACACTGCCAAAGCGTCCCCGTCGGAGGAGGGCGGAGTGGAAGAGAGCGCTGGGTCAGGCGGTTGTCATGGTTATTTGAGCCAGGGTCCCCTGGGCAAGTCCAAACTTCTGTAAGATTTGAGCAACTAGGAGGAGGACCGCAGAGCTGACAGCGATCCGGCCCCAGGGGAGGGATTGTTCCAGAGCCATGAAATATCAGCTCGGTAACATGTTTCTGGCTCCCAGTTCTCAAAAAACTGTCTTCCAGAGGGAAGGTGTCGGAATATAGGTCATATAACTCATAAATTGTCAAGTTCTATAATCTTTGGCTCCTTTTTCACAGTGTCCTGTGGACCATTTTTAACCCATTTCCTTCATCCAGTATTATTTACTATTAAGAGTGTATTTTGAACAGTAAGATTGAAACCCACACAGGAACAGAGTTCACCTGAATGTGCCACTCTTTGATTATTACGATAAATTGCTCTTGGGGCGCCTGGGTGGCTCACTCGGTTAAGCATCTGCCTTCAGCTCAGATCATGATCTCAGGGTTCTGGGATTGAGCTCTGCATTGGGCTCCCTGCTCAGTGGGGAGCCTGCTTCTCCCTCTCCCTTGCCCCCCACCCCACCCCTACTTGTGAGTACACTCTCCCTCTCTCAAATAAATAAATATTAAAAAAAAAAAAAAAAAAAAAGATTGTTCCCCATGAAGAAAAGGACCAGAACTAGGGGTTGACTCTAAACTTTGAGAGACCCATTTCAACCTCTGAAAATTGCTAGATTTCAAGGAAGCTTATTGAACTCTACTGGTCTACGGTGCCACCAGAAAATGCCTCGGGAGAGTCAACTGGACTTTGCTGAGTCTGGAGAAGTGTGCTGACCGGGATCCTCTTCCTGATCAACAGCAACCAGATAACCAAGAACTATCACCTCTCATCCCTTCCTCAGCAACAAATCAGGCAGGAGCCCAAGTTCTAGTTCCTGGCTTCAAAGATGATAGAGGACTGTGGTGTAAGCTATAGTTTTCAGATTATCTAAGAAGGGCCTTTTAAAATGGGTAACGGGTTGGGGTGGGGGGCATCAGGCTGGCTCAGTCGACAGAGCATGCAACTCCTGATCTCAGGGTCAGGAGTTCGAGCCCCATGTTGGGGCTTTATTAATAATAAAATGGATAATGAAGGGACAAAGCTGATTTTCCTTGTTGTTGGTATTATTACCTCTATTGTTGACTCTCCACTAAGTTGTTGCTGTGGGCAACAGGAGAAAGTGGCAAGGAGATGGGGAGATTTCTGATGGATCCTTGGTAATCCTGTACCTGTGATATAAGGCAGGGAAGAGGTCAGAAACAGAGAGTCAAACAGGGAGCCTCCAAAAGGAGTTATAAGTACATGATACGTTTAATACTTATTGATCCAACTTAGACTTTTAAAATACAAGACAGTAATGGAGAGGAAAGGAAGCATCTAAAAAAGGAGCCTCTTGGGACGCCTGGGTGGCTCAGTTGGTTGGACGACTGCCTTCGGCTCAGGTCATGATCCTGGGGTCCCGGGATCGAGTCCCACATCGGGCTCCCAGCTCCATGGGGAGTCTGCTTCTCCCTCTGACCTTCTCCTCGCTCATGCCCTCTCTCACTGTCTCTCTCTCAAATAAATAAATAAAATCTTTAAAAAAATAAAATAAAATAAAATAAAATAAAATAAAAAAGGAGCCTCTACTACCCTCACTTCAAGGTTCAGGACGAATTATCCAGGAGGTTCTGTCTGGATTGCAAACTAGGCCAAAGGGCGGTTCCAAGCCTTTGGAGTCATGGCTCTGGGCCAGACAGTGTATATAGGGCTCCGTGCCGGAAAGTTCTGCTGACAAAGCCAGTCCTCTGGCAGCTTTGGCTGGGAGTCCAGAATGTGGGTGAGAGGTGAGAAGCGGTGAAAGGGCACAGGGCAGTCCCCTGGGAGCAGTCTGTCTTCCAGCCCCAGCTTGAACGACACAGGGTTACCATCTCTCCTCCCCTCACCCTCCACCTTCCCACAGGAGCATAGGGACCTTGGTCCTCCCGTGCACAAGTGGACCCCACCGCTAAGCTCAGCATTCAAAGCTTCATTGCTCAGTCAACTCTCAGGGAACAGCGTTCAGCTGTGAATGTGCTGGCCTGTCCATCTGTTAGGAACGCCTTTGGTTTTTTGTGTGTGTTTTTTTTTTAAGATTATTTATTTATTTATTTGACAGAGAGAGAGAGAGATCACAAGCAGGCAGAGAGGCAGGCAGAGAGTGAGGGGGATATAGGCTCCCCGCGGAGCAGAGTCTGATGCGGGACTCGATCCCAGAACCCTGAGACCATGACCTGAGCCGAAGGCAGAGGCTTTAACCACTGAGCCACCCAGGCACCCCACACCTTCGGTTTTTAAAATCCCTCACGAATGTGGAGGCTTGGAGGTAGGAGGGTTCGTTAGAAATGGGAAAGATGCACAGGGAGGAAGGTACGAGGGTACTGTTGAGGTTTTCACAAATTCCAGAACAGGCGGTATTCCTTAAGCTCCCCATCACCCCCCCGAAATTGCAGAGGACAAAAGTACCGAGACGGATGCTGCCATAACCGGCCACCACAGATTTGAAGCCAACTTCTCTAGGCAGAAGCCAGAGTGCCACCTGACAGAGCTGAGACAGGGGACGCCGCCCTGGATGAGATCCCCTCAGAGGTCTCTTTACACCCCGATGTTCCAGTCTAAATCTTTCTTCATCCTCCTCCTCAGCGTGGATCTTCCAGGCAAGAGCTCATTTTACCAGATCACCTCTGACTCGCCCTCCTTTCAGCTCTTCCTCATTCCCAGGACACACTCACAGATACTGGAGTCTCTTTTGTCTAGAAATTTATTAGACATAATTAATCTATGACTGTAGAGGATCTGGACAAAGTAAAATTAGTTGCTCAAACTTTTTACTTGCCCTGACCTAGCAGCTTTCGATTCACTTAAAATTCCCGAAGTATTTTCTCAAATCCCGTTACCTTGATTAAACACTTTAAAAATAAGAGCGCCAAGGACCTGAGTCTGCTTTTTAAGAATCTCATTCACATTTATGGGAAACATTTAGCGCGCATTTCTTTTCTCATTTCCATTCAGGTAAGTGAAATGGCTTCACTGATAGGACTGACATTGACCTCCCACCTGGCCACAACCTATTTTTCTGCTTCACTTCCCCCAAATCAGGGGATCTGCAACCAACAAAGAACTCAACAGCCAAGATGGGAAGTGGGACCATGAATAAATGGCCTTTTCCTCATTGCTCTTTTCCACTCCCCCAACCGTCCCACACATATGAAGTCTGATTTCTCATAGAAAATGGTGATGCTCCTCCGTTCAGAGTACTCATGAAATTTCTTAACTGCGTAACTGTTGTTGAAAATTAACGTAGCCGTGCCCGAACTGTTATATGACTTTAAATTAAAAAATCTGGCTGGTGAATCTAGATAGAGCTTTAATTTTTCTATAAACCACTAACAAAGTTCTAAAAAAGGCTTTTCACACAGGATTCTGGAGTCTCACACCTCCACTCAGTCAGGAAGGCAATGAACTATCCTCGAAAAACACTGAATTTGGAGTCTGAGGAATGAGGTGCTGGTGTGTTTTTTTAAACCGGCTTCCTCATCTGTCACAGGCTACCCACAGGCACCTGTCATGACCTCCCATATTATGGGGCCCCCAGTCCTTTCTACGTGCTTCTGATCTTTGTTTTCTCGCTGTACTACCTAAAGTCACCATTTCTACCATGAAGGTGCCTGATGCGTTTCTGATTGTACTTCTGGACAGAGGAAGGGCAGGACTGCCATGATGAAAGGCTGTAAGGGGGGGCATGGGCCTCTAGGGAGAAGCCGTGTGGGGGGTGGGGGGTTGGTATCTGGTCAGAGGAGGAAGAGGTCTTTACTAGGTCTGAGAGAGGGCTGGTGTCAGACCTATGGTATTGTGCAAAAGCAGTGAGGCGCACACCCCAAAGGTTGCTGTATATTAATGTTCAACTGTTTGGGCCTTTTTCAATTGTTAGACATTTAGCAAACAGTGAGCTCCCACTATGAGCGTAAGATGCTCAATAAATGTTAGACGAAAGGAAAATACTCAGAAATTCAGAAGTCACTCCAGCCCTCTAAAAAACACCTATAAATTTTCATGCGCCCCATTCTCCATTCTTGGCGCCCCCTCTGCTCACACCACTAGTCGCTAAATGCTCCCACGAACAAGTCTTTAAGCGCCGCTTGACGTGGTCTGTGCCTCACGCAGACGCACCCTAGACGCTGTCTTTCAAGCAGGCGCCGGTCTCCGTCCGAAACCGCTTCAGCGCACCCTCAGCTTCATCTGCGGATACGCCACGACAACGATGCCCGCTATGGAGGACACAAGACCTCCAAGTCCAATGATGCCAGGATTGGACTTATAGATCCCCAGCTGGTCCAAGGGGTTCAAGAGATCGCAGAAGTTCTTCACTGTGTCCAGGAGCAAGGGCGGGTGCTTCTTCAGAGATCGGAACAAGAGGAGGAGGAAGGACTGGAGCCATTCTGTTTCCTCATCGGCCACGCTGTACCCAAGAGGCTCCTGAGACAGTGACTGCTCCGTCCTCGCCCTGTCGCGTGCAGCCTGCTCCATCTGCAGGGAGAGCTCGTACACGTCCCTGGCCAGGCTCAGCAGCAGACAATAGTAGTAGTGGCGGGCAGCCCACATTCGCCATTTCTCTTTGTTAATGCCGGAGGCAAGGCCTACGCTCCTCACCCAGAGGACGGTATCACAGATGGAATAAATCACACGGTTCACATTGGCTAACGTCAGGCATACGCGGGGCACCAGGTCAGTGGCGTGAACGCTCTGCTGGGTCGCCTGCACGGCATGTACCACGTTGCCTAATCTGAACCCTGCGAGAAGAACCCACAATGGTAAACGGATGTCGAATTACTATGTCATATGAAGGCAGAAGCCCTGTATTGGGGTGAGAGGCCAGCACTGGTGTGTTGACTACTATGTGAGGCTCAGTCTTCGCTCGGGAATCAGGAAGGACTTTACAGTATATTAAGGACACCGAAAATGATCCTGGCAGGCACAAAAGACAGTGACTCTTTGAAGTTACCACCTTCATTCCAGCGAACAGCTTAACACTGGCTTACAACACCCTTCAGGCAAGGTCAGTCATGAGTGTGGACTGTGACATCCGAATATGACTAGCTATACATCTTTAGAAGAAAAGTTCTATAACATGAAGTTTAGATGCAACTTTATTTACTTACTTATTTATTTCTGCACATAGGAAGCTTCGATTCCCTGTGGCCATTTCTCTGGCCCAGATACCAACAATCTTTTGGCGAGTCTAATGCCTTAGATTTTATTTACTTTCCAGACAAAAGATGGCTTTTCTTATAAAACATCATTATCATTTTGCCATCTGTGTGGTCCAAACCCCCTCTGGCTCCCTACTCAGGAAGACAAAGTAGAGACGGTAGGAGTTAGTGGCTAGGAAACCATTAATATTGTCGTTGGTGACTCCTAGTTGAATTAAATCCACCACTGCAAGGCGTATCCTCCTCTGAACATGTAATTCAGTTCATCAGGGATGTAGCAATCAACAGATATGTCTTGAGCACCTACACAGAAGGAGTTATAGTCCTACGCATTATGGAGAATACAAAAAAAGTACTTTCCTTAAAGGACTATATCCTATACTCAGCAAATGCTCAAAAGTAGCTACCCTCAAGAGACTTATAATCTCATGAGAATGTCTGGTATGATTTTATCAAAAATACACAAACCAGACTGTGTAATGAACTATCCTGGGTTCCAGTTCTGGCTCTGGCATCAACTGGCTGAATGACCCTGGGTAAGTCCTTTCCAGACTTCAGAACCTTACCTCTGAAGGACCTGTAAGCTCTAACATACTAAAAAATCTGAAAACTTCTAATCCTATCCTTCAAAGCCATCCAAAAAAGCTCGTCCTATCCTCCAACATCCCTCCACTTGACAACTTAACTGCTCTGTCAAGCTACTTTCCTCATGACCTTTAATACAATGGTTTGCTCATAACAATTCTGAGCCTTCGCAGGGGAAACCACCCTTCAAGGCTTTCCTTCCCTTTCTCTCTTAGCTATGCCTCAAGTTCCACTGCCTCCCAAACCTTTTCCCCCCGCTCTATCCTAGCTAATATATCTGGCACTAAATCTTATATCATTATTTATACAATGCAATCTTATTTCTCTCATAAAGCTCAGCTATACCTAAAGTAGGTGCTCAAAAATGATTGTTTAGGGGCACCTGGGTGGCTCAGTGGGTTAAGCCTCAGCCTTTGGCTCGGGTCACGATCTCAGGGTCCTGGGATCGAGCCCCACATTGGGCTCCCTGCTCAGTGGGGAGCCTGCTTCCCCCTCTCTGCCTATCTGCCTACTTGTGATCTCTGTCAAATAAATAAATAAATAAATAAATACGATCTTAAAAAAAAAATTAACGATCTAGAGAGTATTTTGTGAACTGCAGGGTCTGACGATCTGAAACCGGAGCCACTGTGCCTCATGAGGCAGGGTACTTACATTTGCGGCCAGTGCTCACACTGGTCTCCAGTTTCTTGAGCTTCATTACCACCTTCTCTTTGCCAGCTTTAGGCTCTAACAAGTATCTAAGCAACATGCATGTGTATTGAGTGGCTCTGGAACGGAAAAAAAAAAAAATGAGGAGAATGATTTACAAGCCAAATGAAATTTGATTCATGAAGTAAGGAAAGGAGGAACACGTGTTGCTAAAAGCGAAGTTTCCAAGACAAGTTCTCACATAAGTGGCTCTTACAAGAGCATAATTCTGCAACAGTCACTCCACGGGGCTAAAGGGCAGAACATGGGACGGAAATGTGACACAAAGGTAATGAAACAGAATGGTGAGGTAACGGTGAACAGCCCTTCAAATGGCCTCTTGCTGGCACAGAGAAATGGGTAGAGTCAAAGTGGAAATGGCACAAAAATCTCCCTCGTACTAAGTCTGCAGCAATCCCTATTCTTTCTTTTCTCCTGTGTAGAACAATTTTTCCAATTTCTAAAATGAACCTTTTACCTATCGCCAACTACTTACGTAATCAGACATACACTCCAACCAGAACCGAACGGAAAGTTCGGTTGTGAATTTTTTGTAAAAGGATCAAACACACACCAATGCGTGAATATGTAGAGATATGTTTTTACATTTGTCTTTCAAAACTAGTTAGGATTTGGGGGCGCCTGGGTGGCTCAGCGGGTTAAAGCCTCTACCTTCAGCTCGGGTCATGATCTCAGGGTCCTGGGATTGAGCTCCATGGTGGGCTCTCTGCTCGGCGGGGAGCCTGCTTCCCTCTCTCTCCCTGCCTGCCTCTCTGCCTACTTGTGATCTCTGTCAAATAAATAAATAAAATCTTTTTAAAAAAACAAAACTAGGGGGAGCCTGGGTGGCTCTGTGGGTTAAAGCCTCTGCTTTCAGCTCAGATCATGATCCCAGGGTCCTGGGATCGAACTCCGCATCAGGCTCTCTGCTCAGCAGGGAGCCTGCTTTCCTTCCTCTCTCTGCCTGCCTCTCTGTCTACTTGTGTTCTCTGTCTGTCAAATAAATTAAAAAATAAATAAATAAAAAATTAAAAAATAAAAAAAAACAAAACTAGTTAGGATTTTATATGAATACAGACTCCTGCTTAATAGTAGTCAGTAAAGCGATCATTGTTATGACTACAAGTAACACTGCCTCATTAACAGCAATGGAACCCATGAGAAATCCTGTGTCACATGCTCGAACATCTAAACGCACTAGAATCTATTTAACGAAGTGGGTGCCTGTTTCCCACAAGCCTCTAACTGCACTAGAATCCCTTCAGGCTATAGATATGATTCTCAATAAAAATGGGGCACATTTTCCGAAATGGAGAACCTGTTACTGCAGATGAAGTAAAAAGAATTTTTAAAGCAGTTTCCTGGCTATAGGGCTCAAGTCGGTCATGCCAGTAAGTCCCCTTCTCAGATTTGGGCTAATAACAGCCATGTGTCCAAAACCCAGGTATTATTTTACGAATCCAGTTAGTTCACAGGAGCTATCGATCACCACGGGGCTTGGGAAATGAATCCTAGAGATCTCAGATCTTGGTGAAAAGTATATCTAAAACAATTATTTTACTAACCAACCTCCCTAATAAACCTTGCAGGGTACATTCCAAGTGCACTGCATTTGAAGCCTTCTTTTTAATGAAGCTTGTACACAGTGCGACCATTTAAAAAAACCTATCAAATAAATTACTACAGTGGTATGGGCTGGTCACTACCATGGTGGTGGGCATGAGAGTTACCTGTGTGGATTTAAATCTCAGCTCTGCCACTGTGTTCCTATTAACCTCCCGCTTCAGTGTCCCTATCTGTGAAACGGGACTCATTTAGAATATCTATCTACCTCTCAGGGTTGTGATGAGGGTTAAATGGATTAACAGCGGTAACATGTTGAGAACAAAATCTGGCATCAAGTCGGTTTCGGAAAGTCTCGTGACCGGGGCTCTGCACACTGGCCTGTTTGTGTCAGCCCTGGCACACTCAGAAGAGAAGGGAAAGCTGTTAAATGAAACCACAACCCTAATTATTCCTTCTTTATTACTGAGCAAGAATCAACCAAATTTCTAAAAGAAACATCATGAACTAATTAGTATGAAAGCACAACCTCTGTTCAGTATTTTCAGTAGCATAGCGGGTACCGCAGCGGTGCAGTCAGCCCTGTCTGGCGCTCTCCACATAGTACCCGGTTAGACAGTTCACAGAACTATCTCACACGCAGAATCTTGCAGCGGCCAAGAGCAGGCTGCCCTCAAATGTCCCCATTGATTATTTTAAATAAAAGTTACTTAAGAAACAGCCAGTGCAGGGACACTCAAGACCCTCCTCTGTCCCCCAGAAAGCAGGAAACACATCTCCCATGTGAAAAATACCTTCCCTATACTGAGGAAGTCAAAAGACATCCTTATCACCAGAGATAGGGGCTTTAAAACTGAGAAAGTTGTAGAAGCAAACCTCGTTACTTTTTTCCTGATCCTACTACTCCCAGATCCCGCCAGCTCAAGAGAAATTTCTGCCCCTCCCTTAACTACATAGACTCTAAATTGAGGGTCTTTCCTAGCATAAGCGTTATTAGCAGAGATAAATTTTATCTGAATGACCCATCTGTATGGTCGGGCAAACATTTAATTACCAAATATCTGCTCCCCTTATGACTGTAAAATGCATTCCTTTCCTCTGAAATCCCAGACCTCTACTCCCTTCTCCTTAGCTCAGCATGAGACAGACACACACACACACACACAAAACACCCCTCGTTTTCCTCTCTTTGGAATTTTCATGTCTATGGAGATACCCTGTGTACACCTGTTAAATTTGATTTTCTCTTTTTAATCTGTCTCAGGTCAACTTGATTCTTAGTCTAGCTAGAAGGATCTTTCAGGGAACAGGAATTCTTTCTCCCTGACAAACTTTAATCAGATCTTTAACCATGGCCATTTTAAACTTTTTTGTCATTCTTACATTTTTACTCAGATCCTTTTACAAAAGCTTCCTGCAAATGTGTTTCATCTTGAGAAATTCATAAAAAGGAACTTTGACAAATACAGGTTTCCAATAACCTTAAGATCATAAAAGTGAACTCGGAAAGAATTTCTGGAACTAACAGGAGAACCGAATTTAAGCAGATCAAGAATAAATAACATGGGATTAAATGAACTGAGAAGGGTAATTATAATTGTGACATTTTTGCTTGAAATATTGATAAATTTTTAATGTTTCGTTCTCCAGATTTAAGAAAATTTCTTCTCTTAAGCTATGATTTACAACAATTTCTTTTTTCTCCCTATCTGATCCCTGCAGAATTCAAAAACACCCATTGAATTCTTATATATTTTTGACAACATATTTATTTGGGCAAGTTCAGTAAGAGTTTGCTCTTCTTTTTTTTTTTTTTTTTAAGATTTTATTTATTTATTTGTCAGAGAGAGAGAGAGAGTACAAGCAAGCAGAGCGGCAGGCAGAGGCAGAGAGAGAAGCAGGCTCCCCACTGAGCAAGGAGCCCGACGTGGGACTCGATCCCAGGACCCTGGGATCAAGACCTGAGCCGAAGGCAGTGGCTTAACTAACTGAGCCACCCAGGCGTCCCAGAGTTTGCTCTTCTTGTGACAGGACACAATTGGAAGCATGGGTTATGTTCAAAGGCTGTGACTGGAATGTCACATTTGGGAGACAGGCATTAACTCAGATATGACTAGGCAGTTCGAAGGCACTAAGGGTGATCAATGGAGCCAGTAAAGCCCTTTGGAAAAAGAGCCTGACAGCTTGCTTACCGGGTTCCCAGGAGCCTTACCAGGTGAGTAAGTCACCTCCTGACAGGTGCAAAAACCTCAGGATATTTTGGGAACCTCGAGAAGAGAGGAATTAGCCTTAATCTCTAGGTATTACAGGTGACAGCTGATGGCAAGTCTTTGGCCTGACTTCTGGCCTCAACCGGCAGTTTAAAGTTCAATATGGAGATTCCTTACAAAAAGTTCCAGCAAAGCAGATCTTAAAAGGCCTATATGATTAAGCAGTATTTTTGCTACACTTATGTAAATAACCAGGCCAAGTTTCTCCAAACTAGATATATTTTTGCAAATAAATTAGTCTTAATTTGGCTATCTTTGGTAAAATGAAACTGATTATAAAAAAACAAACATATGTTGCAATAACACAACTTTGTGGATATTAGATTCAATTAACAATTTATTATGAACTGGACTAGATCCTGGTTTCTTCTAAGTTTCTTCCAATGCTTGGTTAAAATTCTCCAAACTAGTATTTTTTATATTCTTGATTGAAAATCACTTGATAACTAAAACTTCCCTTTTTCCTAAAACCCTGGACACGGAGCATGAACAAGTTGATGTGAACTTCCAAAAAACCACAACAGCTCACACATGAGCAATTTTCATGCCTGGTGCTCTGTGAGCCACTCAAAATGATCACCAGAGACACTCAAACTACAAACCAAGCAATTCTGACGGATTGCCACTGCCTGCCCTCACTTGCTATAAAGATCCTTTAAACCTGACAACTAGAAATCCTTGACTGGCTACACTCAGAACTCAGAAACTGGTTTGTAATTTGATCCGATCATGAATCATTGTTTTTCTTTTGTTTTCATCGAAATGCCTTATTACCTGATTATCTGAACCACAGGCCTAACTCTGAGAACACACTTGCATCGCCACCTCCTGAAATGAGTTTAACTAAAATGACCTATTGTCAGAACTGAGACGCTGGTTCAAGGAGACAGGACCATCTGTCAGCTCAACTTTTAATGTAGGAAACGTCCAGGAAAGTTTCAGAAAAGGGAAGTGTAGCAGCCAAGGGTAAGCCACCCCAAAGTGTATCACTCGGGCACACTGATTATTCTAAGAAAGTTACTTAAGAAACAGCTGGTGCAAGGACACTCAGACCCTCCTCTGTCCCCCAGAAAGCAGGAAAAACACATCTCCCATGTGAAAGATACCCTCCCTGTACTACAGAAGTCAAAAGACATCCTTATCACCAGAGACAGGGGCTTTAAAACGGAGAAAGTTGTAGAAACAACCTCGTTAGTTTTTTTCCGGATTCCTGCTACATCAGCCTAAATCCTGTTCAGGATTCCCTCCCAAAGGAAGCTCTCAAACACCTGTTTTCTTTATCCTGTCAATTCCTCACAAATGTTATTGTCTGTTTGTCTAAAATGTATAAAAAGTGCCTGCCTGGGTCATTTCTCTAGGTCTGAATTTCACGTATGGGCCTCTGTGCACACACCTTCTTTTTCTTTTCTCCCCCTCCTGTGAAGCTGTTCCGTGTAAATGTAATTCTTAGTCTAGTTGAAAGACGTTGAGGGTAGGGGGAGAATTTTTCCTGCCCTACAATCTCAATGAGACAGGGCAATAATAGTAGATAAATACACATTCTGTCTCTCCGTAAGCATTTCATTTCACAACCAAATGGCTGGCTTCCCGGGTCACAAATGCCAGCCCAAAGTTCATCTTAAGAAAAAAACAAATCCCGGGGGACGCCTGGCTGGCTCAGGCTGTGGAGCCGCGGACTCTTCACCTCGGGGTTGCCAATTCGAGCCCCACCCTGGGTACAGAGATTACTTAAAAAAATAAAATCTTTAAAAAAAAAAATTAAAAATGCCGGGAGGAAGGCTGAGTGGAGAGGACTCGGTCTTCCCCAGGTTAGAGGAACGCTGGTGGACTGGTCCACGGCGGTCAGGGCCCGGGCGGCTGCGCGGCCACACACCCGGCTGTCCCGCGGAGGCTCGGGCGGACAGCGGGGTCCGGTCCGCCAGACTGCCTGCGAGAAGGGCTCCGGAACCGAACTCCGTCCTGCCGCCGCCCACTGGGCGAGCCCCTCCTCCGGAAGCCGGGGGACCCGAGACCTGGCTCAAGTGGCAGCACCGGGAAGGGGTGGAGGCCGCGGGCACCCGACTCACCTGAAGAGTCGGTCCCGGCCCTGGGTCTGGTTGGTGAAGCGGATGAAGGTGTCCATGGCTTCCGGCCCGAGGCCACGTGTCACCCCGAGTTCAGTCGCGAGTCCTCAAGGGCTTCACCGGGTCCCCTCGGGATTAGCTCAGTCTCCCCGCCCCCGTGGGGGCGGGCGCGCCTTCCGTAGAACTACTTCGCGGGCTTCCGGTGGGGGCCGGAAGTGGCGGTTACTAAGGCGACGCCACGCTCCCGGCCCAGGTGAGCGGAAACTTGGCTTCTCCGCTTGGGTTCAGCGGTTCCCCGCGTGTCCCCGGAGGCCCCTCGACATCTAGGGTCTCCTAGAGGGGGACTCGGGGGGGAATCTCCCGACGCTCCTTGACATCTAGGGTCTGTTAGAGAAGGACTCGGGGTGGGGGATCTCCCCAGCCTCTGACCTTTCCGGAGATCCTGAGAACTCCGGAAGCCCATGCGGCATCCTGAATGGAGATTCCCCTGAGGTTTTGCTTGGCGACTTTGGGACCTAATCGTGTCCCACCTCTGTACCTCGGTTTCCCTTGAGCAACCCCAGCTCCAGGTTTGGGGTAGGAAACACCAAAGATAACCCAATGCGTGGCATGTATTTCTAGCATGGAGAGCCAGGTAAAGTGGGAGAATTTTCTGTCTGGATCGTTAAGTACTCAAGATTGCCACCTGAGGAAATCCTAGAGGGGCTAATATGAACAAAGTTGAGGCAGAAATAGATTCCGGCAAAATTGCAGCACTGAGCGTTGGTTCTTTGGGGCTTGAAGACATGGAATCCCACCCACTCCATAATAGTAATATTACGAAATATACCCCTTACAATCAAAAAGTTTATTTTTGTAACCTTTATTCCCTTGGTCAGGCCTGCCCTTAACATTTGCAGGCCAGGGGGAGGATTACAAATAAAGACCCACATACCGTACGGTTATTTTTTTATTATTTTTTAAAAATATTTATTTTGGGGGCGCCTGGATCGCTCAGTGGGTTAAAGCCTCTGCCTTCGGCTCAGGTCATGATCTCAGGGTCCTGGGATGGAGCCTCACATCGGGCTCACTGCTCAGCGGGGACCCTGCTTCCCTTCCCCTCTCTCTGCCTGCCTCTCTGCCTGCTTGTGATCTCTGTCTGTCAAATAAATAAATAAAATCTTTAAAAATATATATTTATTTTTAAAGATTTTTTTTATTTATTTGAGAGAGAGGAGTGCTCAGGGACATGGGGGGGGTGCGCAATGGAGACAAGGGAGCGGAGCCCAAGCACACTCGCAGTGAGTGGGGTTATGTCTTCATCAAATTTTGTCTTTATCAAGGGTTTTGCCCATGATGCACCTTGGTATAGATTTCTTCATGTTTCCTTTGCTTAGGCCTTGTGTTCTTCTTGAATCTGTGAGTTTACAGTTTCATCAAATTTAGAAATATTTTGTCTATTTCTGCAGATTTTTTTTTTTGCCTCTTCCCTCCTTTGGGGATTTCAATCACACTTATATTAGACTACTTCAGGTTCTCCCACACCTTTCTTCATTTTTTTCCCTCTCTCTCTTTGTTTCAGTGTTTCTATTGCTGTATCTTCAAATTTCCTAATCCTCTGTCCATCTAATTTGTTTTGCTCTGAAGAGCTTGTGATTAATCTGATCGAATGTACTCATCTCAGACACTGTAGTTTTCATCTCGGGAAGTTCAGTTTGGGTTTCTTCCACATCTCTAGCAAACATTTCCTCTTCGTTTTTAAACATGTGAAATATATTTATAACTGTTTTATCTGCTAGTTCTAATAAGTGCGTTGATGATGAGCCAGCTTCAGTTGACTGACTTTTCTCTTTGTGAGTTTCTTGCCTCTGCATGCCAGGTCATTTTTTTTTAATTGGATCCCAGATATTTATTTCATTGAATGCTGGATATTTCTGTTTTCCTATAAATATTGTTGAGTTCGCTCTGGTATGCCGTGAAGTTACTTAGCAATTTTTTGATCTTGTCCCTTCTAAGATTTGACTAGCAGTACCAGAGCAACGTTAATTCCAGGGCTAATTTTTCCCTTGCTTGGCAAGACCTTCTGATCACTCCACCCAGTGTTTGTGAATTATGAGGCTTCCCATTCTCCTGCGTGGAAACTGGCATTATTCCTGGTGTGAGCTCAGCTTACTGTTCCTACCTGTGATTTCAGGTGGCTCTTTTTTGTCATATTGGGGCTCAGCTAGCTCCTCTGGCTATGCACCAGAAACATCACAGATGAACCCTAACGGGTGAGGTAAGAGGATGGCAGTGGGTTTCTACAAGGGTTCAATGCCCCCCCCCCAGTGCTCTGACAGTGCAAGACCCCCACTCCACTACATGTGAATCATCTCAGAATGGACCCCATGTGCCACATTAAATGCCTTTATTTACCTGTAATTTTGAGAGCCTTTTTATAATTTGTACAGTTTTGAGTTCTATGAAGTTCAGCTTACTTGTTCTTTTCTATGGACTGAAACGTTATGCACACAGCCTGGAGCTAATAAGTTGTGATATTTTTGTGAATGTTTAATTATTTTCATTTCGTGGGGATTTTGTTTTGTTTTAGTCCATTTTTTCCCCCAAGTCTCAAACATTTCTACAGGCCCTAGAAAAATCTCACAGGCCATGGGTGCTCTGTCTACAGAACTGTCAGTCAGTAGCAGTGGGCCTAGAGAGAAAGGACCAAACGAGACAGCAAGGATTCGAAGTGCTTGGACGGCATCTGGTCAGAGAGGAGGGGAAGGAAGGACAGCAGTCCTGGCTCACTACCCAGCTGGCCTGGGCATAGCCACTTGCAGAGATGGAAGAAGGAAGAGAAGACCTAAGTTGTAGGAGAGAGGTTGAATTCTAGTTGGGACCTAGACAGACACTCTCTGAGCAGGAGCTGGAGAAAGGCAACAAGGATGCCACATTTCCTCTCCCTGTGCCATAGCACCCATCATCTTGAGCTATTCTGGAAGATGTGACTCGTTAACACCCAGTTCTGCTGATATCCTTATTATATGAAGGGCATACTTTAGTAATGTGGTAACAATCCTGTGATAAGTAAGGAAAGCGCCAGTCTCTAGAATAAATAGTTCCCAGCAATTTTTGTGTTAGAGAGGGGGATGTGCTGTCTTCTGGTAACTTCTCTTTTTTCTCAAAGGACCTTTGCTTGCTTCCTTTGTCAGCTTTTCCAAGTTTCCTAGATGCTCCCAGTGCCAGCTTCTGTGATGTCAACCCCCAGAGGAAGTCAAGTCTCCAGTTTTATGAGAAAGGGGGTGCTCGAGGTGCCATCCCCAACAGAGAAGGACTGGCCAAAGGATGATGAAGATGATTATATCTTCATAGATTTGGGTGAGGAGATGGATTCCCTGCCACAGCCTTACCGCATGATCAACAAGATGGTGAACCTTCTGTTTGACAAGTGTTGGGAAGTTATCCAGGAAAGGGAGGCACGGAGGGAAGTTGAGCTCAGCCAGACCCAGCCCACCACCTACGCTCCACTTATAGAAAGCAAGGTATGGAGGAGCTGACCAGGAGTCCCTTTTTCCCAGTAGTGTTGATAAATGAAAATGCCTGATCCAGGGAAGGAGCTCCTACAAGGAACCTTCCCTCATTAAGACAGGTGCATTTATGAAAGATTACTAGGCTTGGGGCGCCTGGGTGGCTCAGTGGGTTAAAGCCTCTGCCTTCGGCTCAGGTCATGATCCCAGTGTCCTGGGATCGAGCCCCACATCGGGCTCTCTGCTCTGCGGGGAGCCTGCTTCCTCCTCTCTCTCTCTCTGCCTGCCTCTCTGCCTACTTGTGATCTCTGTCTGTCAAATAAATAAATAAAATCTTAAAAAAAAAAAAAAAAAAGATTACTAGGCTTGCTGATGTTGATTAAAATGGATCTAGTAGGGTGCCTGGGTGGCTCAGTGGGTTGGGCCACTGCCTTCGGCTCAGGTCATGATCTCAGGGTCCTGGGATCAAGTCCCGCATTGGGCTCTCTGCTCAGTGGGGAGCCTGCTTCCCCCTCTCTCTCTGCCTGCCTCTCTGCCTACTTGTAATCTCTGTCAAATACATAAAATCTTAAAAAAAAAAAAAAAAAAGACAGCTATGGTTAGTGGTCCCTCTACCCAGCAAGTAGCATGGCGTTTAAATGAATGAATGAATTAATTAATTTAAAAAATGGATCTAGTAATTGCTTGGGAGAAATGAGTATTCTGTTTAGTTGGAGATTATACAGAAAGTCTTTTATATTCTGTTGTTATTTAAAAATACTTCTGAATACTTTAGTCACTCTCTTGCTTGATGATTGGGAATCTGCCAGTGTCTCAGCGTTTCCACGGCATTCTAGATGATAAAAGTACAGGGAACAGGGACACTTGTTCTACTCATCACAGGACCTGTGGTCATGGTTAGTCTTGTAAATGTGTACTTATTCTCAACTTGGTTGTTTTCTCTGGCTCTTTTCTCCTAAAAGTAGAATGCTATGACTTTCCTGATGCTTGGGCAAGATACTTAGGTGAGCACTGTTTGGGGGTGATATTCTACCTAGGAAGGGCCCACATGCCTCTTTGAAAAGTTAGCTCACATTCTTGCAGATGGTGGCAGCTGAAAATCATTCCTTCTTCCTTTGTTTTTTGTTTCCCCAGCTCAACAAAATGCCAAATTGTATGGCGATTTCCCAAGACTATGTCTTTATTGGAGGAGCCAAAGGATTCTCCATCTATAATCTGTACAGTGCCAAACGAGTATATGGTTGGGAGAAACTTAAGGTGGATGTCACTTCCATCTGGGCCACAGATTTGGGGAGTGAAATACTTATTGTTCCCGTGGATGAAATGGGTACATGTTCTTCCTCTTTTTTTTTTTTTTTTAGCCAAATTTATAGTTATCTGTAGACTGTTCCAATTTAATCTCCTTTCTAGGTATGGGTGGGGCCAGACCTGGAGCCTTCTCCCTGGTCACATAGTATTAACTCACACACACAGAACATGATAGTGTGCAAAGCACTAGTCTAACATTGCTCATAAGCTGACCCATGCAACCCTCACAACAGCTCTGGGAGGTAAGTAGAATTTCTTAACCCTGTTTTTCAGAAGAAGCCACTGAGGCATTGAGGTTAAATAACTTACTTGGGATGATGTAGAAGGAGAGTGGCACAGGCAGGATGCTGCCCAGCCAGCATGGACCCGGAGTTCACACCCTTTGGGCACTCAGAAATCCCGCTGCTCAAATAAAGTAGGGATCGTTTCTTCCCCTCAGCCTGAGGCTGAACCAGGCCTTCATGGGGACGAGAGTACTCAGAGCCGTAGACAGTGTAGTGGAGGACAGTGTTTCTGCAGGAGAGTGAGCCGACCAGACGGGTGTTTTAGGAAGGGTGCCGTGGTAGGACTAAGTCAAAATGAGAGAAAGAGATGTGGTTGTGTAGCAGTTGGCTTGTCCAGGGGTGCAATTCTGTACTATCCCCAAATAAACCTATCTTCTGTTGGGAAAGAAAGACAGAGAGAGTGATAGAGAAAGAAAGGAAAGGAAGGGAGGGAGAAAGAAGGAAAGAGGGAGGGAGGGAGACCAAGAAGGACTGTTGCTTTCATCAAGGAGAGAAATGATGAAGGTCTGAACCAAGGCACGGGCTGTTACAATGAAAGGAAAAATCGTACTATAGTTTTGTAAGATGCTATCATTGGGAAAGTGAGCTGAGGGATATAGGGGTATTCTTGGTACTATTTTGGAAACTCTTCTCTAAGTTTGAGCATGCGCTTTTTGAGGCAGCTGGAGGGGGGATCGTTGAATTCAAGAGGAATTTGGTCTAAAGATAGGATCGTATTTTATCACACTGCGTTACATCCGCTGGGTTTCACGTCTGTGTGACCTCAGTATAATACATGTGAAGACAGAGACCGCCTTGGCTGTCCCTGGCACATCTCTGGTCCTGCAGCAGATATCCTGTGGTGGTTTATTGGGTTGAGTTAGACCTTCACCCACAATGGGACCTTTGCCTTTGTCTTTCTGGATTATGGGTGTCAGCGCGAGTTAGGAATGTCTTACAGAGGCTTCCGGGACCAGAGGATGGGCCACGGTAGGCAGAGAGAACCCAGCAGAACAGCTTGAACATGTCACGTCGGGGGTGAAGGAAGCCAGGGAGACTGAGAGGCCAGGAGGAGGCTTAAGGACCCGTGAGCACAAGCTGGTAATTCAGAAAGTCAGATCTAAAATTCCAGTTCTTTGATTCATTTGTGTGTCTTACCTTCTCTGTTTCAGGCATTGCTAGACTGTTCTATTTTTACAAGGATGGTCTTTTCCTCATCAAAGCCATCAATGAAGCGGTAAGTTCCTGTTGTTTACCCTAGAACTGGGCCAAAAGCTGTAGCAAATGAAGTTGACTTTTCCTATGGAGGTGATGACCCCTGTCCTAGAGTAGAAAGATAGAGACTCTCTGGACAGAGGGCCTTCTCTAAAATATCCAGTTTAAAGACCCCCCCCACCAACTGAGGGCACATGCTGAAAGCTGTGGATTTATTGACCCTGTTTTTGGGAGAAAAAGTTACTAAGGATCTCCAGTCCAGAATGAGCACCAGACCAATATATTCAGCAAATACTTACAAGTCCCTACAATTTCCAGGCTGCTTCCCATCCTGTCCCCTTGCCTATGCTGTTCCCCCTGCTCAGAGTGCTCCCCTTGCCTCCGTACCTACTGTATGTACCTCTTAAATTTCCCTCATTCCCTTACATTTCCTTTAAGAGCAGCTCAGATATCTCCTTCTCTGAGATACTTTCCCTGAAATGCCCCTAAAGACCCAATCTCTCCCTCCTCTGTCTGCCCCCATACAGAATGGAATCTCTGTTGTAGTATTTTCTCTACCTTCCATCCTTGTTTGTTTGTATGACTACTTCTTCTCTTGGATATAACCATCCTGAGGGCAGGAGACGTGTTCTTATTCACCCATGTTTCACCCACGTATCCCTTGTTCCTAACACACTGCCTGTCTACCGTAGGGTCTCGGAAAGTGTTTTGTGAATCGAGGAGTAAAAAAAAGAGAGAGGCTGTTGCTCAGAGTAGATTTTTAACTGCAGTTTGTCTTGTAAAAAATACCACTGATGGGCATCCAAGCAAGTCAGTGGGGAAAAGAAAGTATTTTCAACAAATGATGCTGGAATGCTAGAGGGGAAGTGAATTCCACCCTACTTTGTACCATATATAAGAATCAATTTGAGATGGGTTATGGGTCTAAATGTAAAGGCTAAAAACATTATCCTTTTTAAAGAAAACACTGGAAAATATTTTAGCCACCCCAGGGAAGGTAATGATTTCTTACAGCATTTTTTAAAAAATTTATTTATTTATTTGACAGAGAGAGGGAGAGAGATCACAAGTAGGCAGAGAGAGAGGGGGAAGCAGGCTCCCTGCTGAGCAGAGAGCCCGATGCGGGGCTCGATCCCAGGACCCTGGGATCATGACCTGAGCTGGAGGCAGAGGCTTAACCCACTGAACCACCCAGGCGCCTGGGGAAGGCAAAGATTTCTTAGGACATGGAAAGTACTAAATAGAAAAGAAAAAATTGATATTGGGTTCATCAAAGTTAAAAACTTATTATTCTCACAGCATACGCAAAAATTAGCTTGCAGCGTGTCATAGGACCCATCTGTAAAATCTAAACTCATAAAACCTCTACAAGAAAACATAGGAGGAAGTCTCGTGACTTTGGGACTGGCAAAGAGTTTCTAGCAGCAACATCAAAAGCACAATCCATACAAGAAAGAATTAGTAAGTTGGCCTTCATCAAAATTGAAAGCTTCTTCTGTAGATGGCACTGGCAAAAGAATAAAAAGACAGGCAGCGGACTGGCAGAAAATAATTGTAAATCACCTACCTGATGTACAACTTGTATCCAGAACATGCGATGAACTCTCAAGACACAAACTCAACAATAAGGCAACAAACAACCCAGTTTTCAAAATGGGCAGGGGTTTGAAAAGAAAAGACGGTTCCCCAAAGAAGATAGATGGAAAGTAAATGAGTTGCTTAGCATCCTTAGTCATTAGGAAGACGCAAGTCAAAATCACAGCGAGCTACCACGACACGTGTACTAGAATGCCTCAAGTTCAAAAGAGTGACCATACCAACAGTTGGCAGAGATCCAGAACAGCCGGAACTCTCATACACTGCTGGTGGTGAAATACAATGGTACAATTATTTTGGCAGGTTTTTTTATAAGTAATGTCTACACCCAACGTGGGGCTCAAATTCACAACCCTGAGATCAAGAGTCACGCGCTCACTCAACTGAGCCAGCCAGGCACCCCTTTGGCAGTTTTTTTTTTTTTTTGAAAAGTTAAACGTACTATCTGGGTGTTCCACTCCTTGATATTTACACAGGAGAACCGAGAGCGTATCTCCGTACAAACACGTGTATGTGAATGTTTATAAGCAGCTGTCTGTGTCCTAGCCAAAAACCGGAAGCCACCCAAATGTACATCAGCATGGGGGGCGGGGATAAGCAAATTGGGGTATGCGCACTCAATAGTATGAACTATTAATGCATATAACAACATGGATGCATCTTAAAATAATTACACTGAGTGGGGCGCCTGGGTAGCTCAGTGGGTTAAGCTCAGATCATGATCCCAGGGTCCTGGGATCGAGCCCCGCATCAGGCTCTCTGCTCAGGGGGAGCCTGCCTTCCCCTGTCTCTTTGCCTGCCTCTCTGCCTACTTGTGATCTCTGTCTGTCAAATAAATAAAATCTTTAAAAAGAAAAAAAAATAATAATTATGCTGAGTGAAAGAAGTCAGACACAAAAAGAGTACACACCATATAATTCCATTTATATAAAATTCTAGAAATATGAACTAATGTAGTGACAGAGAACATCAGTTTTTTCCTGGGGTGGGGTGGGAGAAAGGTGAAGCAATGATTACCAAGGGCAGGAGGAAACTTCAGGGGTGATGGATACGTTCAGGGGTTGTGGGATGGTTTCAAGAGATATACATGTGTCAAAACATCAAATTGTACACTTTAAACATGTAGTTGGTACATGTTATTATATTCCTAATAAAGCAGTTTAAAAAAATTAAAACTTCTCATCAAAAGATGCTATTGGAGTTCACTCTCTAGCAGGAGCTGATGGGGGGCCCTGAGAGCCTTGACCAGCCCCACCGGCACCGGCCCAGTGACCCTCACACTCCAGGGAGAGCCACAGCTGTCCCCGATCAGAGTGACAGCAATCCTGAGCCGTGGAGCGGAAACCCAGCAGGGGCCTCCACAATGCCCCCCACCCACACCACCGTGCCCCCGCCCATGCCACCTGCCCACAAGCAGGGAGCAATGGCACCTGCTGGTGGGGACAAGGAGGTCATGGCAACAGAGGTTTAGGGACCAGTCAGGTGGTTCCATGCGCAGAACAGACACGGTTTCATCAGCAGCAAGGACACCAAGGAAGATGTATTTGGATAGCAGACTGCCATAAAAGGTAACCCCAAAAAGGGACTTTTTGATATAGGAGATGGAGAGATGGAAGAGTTGGATGTTGTTGGAGGAGAAAGTGTGCAGAGGCAGTGGGCGTCATAGGCCCTGATGGAGTTCAGCACAGGGCAGTAAATCAGCGCAGAATAGAACCAGGGGGAACACTGTCCATGTCTAGGGCTGGGCCTCCATGCAATTACCAGTGGCATTCCAGACTTGTGAGAGTAGGGAAAGGAATGAGGGGTCAGAGAGTGCCCCTGAAGGTCAGGCCCCAGCCCACTGGGCCCGGCACAGGTGACAGTCCCCACCTGCATGTGGGCAGAGCCCATTAGGGAGCCCATCACACGATGCCGACCCTCCCGTGCAGAAGGGACGAAGGGGGTAGACGAGCAGGGCACAGCAAGTAGATCAGTGAGAGAATCTGTATCAGGGGATGGGCCCATCTCACCAAAGACCGCCTAGAGAGGACAGCAATGAAGAGGAGAAGGAAAATCAAGGAGATGACACCCAAGGTCAGCAGCCTCCTCAACCCTGCAACTTCTATTACTGATGCAAATGCCTGGAGAACCTAAGCCATAAGATGGCAAAGGGACAAAAGCAGCTGAGAATTCAGGTGAGGCGTCATGTCTCCCCAGGCTGAGCAGGGCGGGACTGAGCAAATGCAGGCTTACCACCTGTCCCGGCACACACTTCGGTCAGCCGACAAGGAGTGATCTTGAAAAATAAATATCCAGGGGCACCTGGGTGGCTCAGTGGGTTAAAGCCTCTGCCTTCGGCTCAGGTCATGATCCCAGGGTCCTGGGATCGAGCCCCGTATCGGGTTCTCTGCTCGGCGGGGAGTCTGCTTCCCTACCTCTCTCTCTCTGCCTGCCTCTCTGCCTACTTGTGATCTCTGTCTTTCAAATAAATAAATTAAAAAAAAAAAGAAAGAAAAATAAATATCCAGACTACACCAAAATAAGAGGTTTTTGCACAGCAAAGGAAACCATCATCAAAACGACAAGGCAACCTACAGAATGGGAGAAGATATTTGCAAATGACATATCTAATAAAGAGTGTCCAAAATGTATAAAGAACTTACACAACTCAACACCCCAAAACCAAATAATCCAATTAAAAAATGGGCAGGAGATATGAACAGACATTTCTCCAAAGAAGACATGCAGGTGGCCAACAGACACATGAAAAAATGCTCAACACCACTCATGATCAGGGAAATACAAATCAAAAAACCACAATGAGATCACATCACACCTGTCAGAATGGCTAGAATCAAAGATAAGAAATAACAAGAATTGGCAAGGAGCTGGAGAAGAGGAACCCTCATGTACTGTTGGTGGGAATGTAAGTCAGTGCAGTCACTGTGGAAAACAGTATGGAAATTCCTCAAAAAATTAAAAATAGAAATACCACATGATCCAGTAATTGTACTGCTGGGAATTTATCCAAAGAAAATGAAACACTAATTTGAAAAACTATATGCACCTCTGTATTTACTGTAGCATTACTTACAATAGCCAAATTAGGGAAGGCCCCAAGTGTCCATTGATAGATGAATGGATACAAAATATGTGGTATATACAGACACAATGGAATATTACTCAGCCATAAAAAAGAATGAGATCTTGCCATTTGCAACATGGATGGACCTAGAGGGTATAATTCTAAGTGAAATAAGTCAGACAGAGAAAGACAAATACCATATTATTTCACTCTTATGTGGACTCTAAGAAACAAAACAAACAGAGAAAAAAAAGAAACAAATAGACTGTTAAATACAGAAAACAAATTGGTGGTTGCCAGAGGGGTGGGGGGGTGAAATTATGACATCCCAGCAATAAGAAGTGAACGAAAGATTGGAGCTGAAGACCTTCAGTGCTTGTATTTCTACTGTTGACCAGACAGCTAGAACTAGAGGCATCATCTATGCACCATCTGGTTTTTATTTTTACTTAAAGATGTCTCTTTTTGGTAATACCAAATGGGTTTTTCGAAAAGTCTGGTTTTTCTCAATACACCTTTAAAGGTTTTAACATTGTTTCATATCTAGCCAAGTTGAGATATTTGTTTGTTTGTTTTGGAGAGAGAGCGAGCCTGGGGTGGTGGGGGAGAGGCAAAGGGAGAGGGAGAGAGAGAATCCCAAGCAGGCTCCATGCCCAGTGCGGAGCCAGATGCAAGGATTGATCTCACCATCTGAGCCAAAATCAAGAATTGGATGCTGGAGCACACTGAGCCACCCAGCTGCCCCTCACCGAGTTGAGGTTTTTAAGCACCTCATTTTTAATTTGTAATAAAACATTACAACTTGTTTTTTTTTAAATCAACAAAATGCAAGCACCTATTAATAAAGGTCTTAATAATAACAAGTATCTTTGTTATTATAAAGCTACAATTAAGAAAATGAAAAAGCAGGCCACAGACAACCATAAACATTGAGTCTCTCACCTGGCCTGAAATTTGAGCAAATTTCATACCAGGGTTACAGTCAGTCTCTTCTTGCTATGGACTGAATGTTTGTGTCCCCACAGAATTCAGGTTGAAAATCCTAAACTCTGGTGTGAGTATTAGGAGGTGGGACCTTTGGGAAAGGTTTAGATCATGAAGACAGAGCCTTCATAAATGGGATTAGTGCCCTTAGATGAGCCCCAAGAGCTCTCTCAACCCTTCCACCATGTGAAGGCACCTGAGAAGGTGGCAGGCAGGAAGTCTACAGACCAGCAAACAGGCTCTCGCCAGACACTGAATCTGCCAGATTTTTGAAATCTTTGGAAATCTTGGCTTTCTAGCCTCCAGGACTGTGGGAGATAAAGGTCTATTGTTTATGAGTCATCCAATCTATGGTATTTAAGAAACTAGGAAATACATCCAAAACCTTTAGGCAGGAAATCGAAATTCCACCATTCCTCTCCATCGTCAGGCTTGACCTTACTCTATCAACACCTCTCTTCTTTTCAGGATGATGCCAGCAAGCAAACCACCTGTGTGAAGGTGGAGATCTCTCAAGGAGGGGGTTTCGCAGCCTTCCTCCTACAAGGTGAGATTAACCGTGAGCTGATAAGAAGGTTCAGATGTGTAGTCTCTTCCAGATAACCACCTCTTTTCAAACCTTTTATTTAGAAATAATTTATGGGAGTTGTAAAGATAGGTACAGGGTTCCCCTGGTTTTCCAATACCAACATTTAACGTGACCACAGTACGTTTGTCAAAATTAATGACAGGGGCGCCTGGATGGCTCAGTGGGTTAAGCCTCTGCCTTCCGCTCAGGTCATGATTCCAGGGTCCTGGGATCAAGCCCCGCATCAGGCTCCCTGCTCAGCAGAGAGTCTGCTTCTCCCTCTGCCTGCCACTCTGCTTACTTGTGCTCTCTCTCTGTCCAAAAAATAAATAAAATCTTAAAAAAAATTAAGTGATGACATCGATATAATACTATTAACTAAAGGTGGTGGCTTTTTTCTTCAGGTTTTGCCCATTTTTCCACTAAATTTTTGTTTGAAGGCTCGATCCAGGATTTCATATTCTATTTAGTCATCGTGTCTTCTTAGTCTACTCCTATCTGTGACAATTTCTCAGTCTTTCTTTGTTTTTCATGACCTTGACACTTTTGAAGAATACCAGTGAGATATTTTGTACAAGGTCCCCCAGTTTCAATTTGCCTGCTATGTTTCTCATGATTCAACCAAGGTTAAGGATTTAGGGGAGATGCCACAGAGGTGAATTGCTCTTGTCGTTGTATGTCGGGGGTATGTGCCAGCAATATCACCCAGGTAACTGGTGTCTGCCAGGTTCCCCCACTAAGATACTGCTTTTCCCAACCCATACTATGTTAGAAGCAAGTCACTACATCTAGGCGACACTTAAGGGGAAAGGATTTAAGCTTCTCCTCCTGGAGGCAGAAGAATCAAAGAATTTGGGGGCATATGTTGAAACCACCACAGTAACTGATAAGCATTCGAGGGGAGATACTTTGAGACTACGCATATATCCCGCATCCCCTTAAAGTACAACCCACCAATTTTAGCATTTGTCATTGGCTCTTACCTGCTGTAATTATTACTGCAGAGATGGAACATCTTTTATTCAAGTGACTTTTAGCTTGATTTTTATCTTTTTATTTATTTGACAGAGAGGGAGAGACAGCAAGAGAGGGAACACAAGCAGGGGGAGTGGAAGAGGGAGAAGCAGACTCCCTGCTGAGCAGGGAGCCTGATGTGGGGCTCGATCTCAGGACCCTGGGGTCATGACCTGAGCCAAAGGCAGACACTTAACGACTGAACCACCCAGGCAACCTGACTTTTAACTTTTAAATATTTAGACATATGGTATATGGGCCTCTATATTCTTGCCACAGGTCCCTCAAATGTTAAGTGCTTGAGGAAAGTATATACTTCAAAGGAAGCTTTTATACTCTGTCCTGTTTCCTAGGCCCCAACAAAGTACCACAAACCTGGTGGCTCAAAACAAGACAGTTATTCTCTCCCAGGACTAGAGACTAGAAACCTGAAGTTCAGGGGTCCAGATGACTGCGTGTTAAAGGAAACACTTAGCTAGAGCCCCAAACCAAGGGGAAGTGGCCCTTCCCAGGTTGTCAGGTATTGGGTATAGAAGCTGAGTGTGTTTCCATGACAAGTTAAAGCCCCACACCAAGGTAGTCCTTGGTGATCATTTCCTCAAATATCAGAAGAATGCTCTGGAGGGAATCTCTCCCAATTGCAGCCTCAGCCATCCCCTCTCAGTCATGGCTTCTGTGTCATATCGCCTTCCTCCCCTGACAGGAAAAGCAGTATGACAAAATGTCTGTGTAATTTACCTCTTGGAACCTAGAAAAAGACAGGGGGACTGGGCAGAGGCGACAGCTTGGTTAAAAACCGTAAAACCAGTGCTGTGAGGGTAAGGAGCCCGGCTTCCTTCAGAAGGCAGTGGCCTGAGGGGAGAGGCCCTACAGCTCCCCGGGAGTGAGGACTGTCAGCGACCCATGGCAGGAACACGGCTCCCTCGGTCTGCCCAAGTCTCTGTTCCGAGGGTGCCTGCTGGGCCCCACGCTGGGGGTTCTGAGAAGACAGGCTTTTCCTCAGGGGAAGCTTGTCACCTACTCACAGTTGCTCAATGGCGCCTTGGTTTCCCAATGCAGGAGCTGGGGACACTTGGCTGGATGTGTACAAATTGCCCAAGGAGTCTTGGCTCAAGGAGGTGGAGCACCCCCAACCAGCTCTAAATCCGAAGAAGAAAGTCAGACAGCCACAACCGGTAGGAAAGGCCCCTGTTTCCCACTGATGGGTTTCTCCCTCCCCTTGACCCACATCTAGCCTAAATGCCCCTTGGAATCAGGACGAATGGGGCCCTATGGAGGCAGCAAGAGAGGACAGCAGGCACATGGGCCCATGACTCCAAAATCATTTTGCTTTGGTTAAAATAAGATATTAGGGGCGCCTGGGTGGCTTGGTTAAAGCCTCTGCCTTTGGCTCAGGTCATGATCCCAGGGTCCTGGGATCGAGCCCCATATCTGGCTCTCTGCTCAGCAGGGAGCCTGCTTCCCCCTCTCTCTCTGCCTGCCTTTCTGCCTACTTGTGATCTCTCTTTTTCTCTCTGTCAAATAAATAAAATCTTTAAAAGAAAAAAAAAAGATATTAAAACGTAGAGGTGCCCTCAGTAGTGGGAGCCTCAGTCTCTTTTTCATCTGGGAGGTGCCTCTCCACCAAGACCATTCCCAGGCATTTCTCTGGGAGAACGGTCTTTTATCCTGATTCCTGCCTCCTCGGTCATTTTATCCCCCCCACTCTGGGCTGAAGTAATCCTTTCATGCCTCACTGCATTTCCCAGATTATGGTATAATCAGGTTGTTCTCAATATATAGGAATACATATGTTCTTCATATTATTCTTAGAAAGTAGGAGCTCTACCATTTCAGTCTATTTATTTTTTTTTAATAATCTCAATGCCCAACATTACTTCTGTTCATTCATATTTCTTTTTATTTCTTTTTTTTAAAGTTTTATTTATTTGATATGGAGAGACAGTGAAAGAGGGAACACAAGTAGGGGGAGTGGGAGAGGGAGAAGCAGGCTTCCCACTGAGCAGGGAGCCTGACGCGGGGCTCGATCCCAGGACCCTGGGATCATGACCTGAGCTGACGGCAGACTTAAGGACTGAGCCACCCAGGGGCACCCCCATTCATATTTCTTCCTCTCACTATTTCCAGTCTCCCCTCCTGCATCCTAAGACCCTGGACAGCAGGGGATCCTGTGTTAAAATCCTGCGGGCCAGGCAACCACGCAAATATCAGTCATCTGTGTCTGCAGGATGCGTTCACTACTGACGACAGTAACGGGGAGAGAGAGAGAATAAAGCGGGGGACGCACATACATCAGGCCTATCGTGACTTAATTTCTCATTTTTCTCCTCAGAATCCTCTTGAACCTGTGACTTCAGAGGATTTAGAAACGGTAAGGAACTTTAAAGAAAATCTGCAGGGAAATTCAGGTTGCATGCCACAGATTTTTATTTTGACTGAAAATGTGCTTTAAATACCAAGTATCCCAGGAAAATGTTCCAGTAGGGCACATTTTCAGATTCTCTGTAACTCAACTTCGTACCTCATATCCACAAAAGACAGGCCCCTATCCTTGAGGATCATTGCCCCGAGTCGTTTGTCCAGAGATGGGTTTCCATGATGATAAGGGAGGTGAAATTTTAGGCCCCTCTCCTGTATGGCCCCTTCCAAGGCCCTGCAAGGGACCCTAACAATGTATTAACATGGCCACATAGTCTTGTAAAATTGGCAAAAGTAACATTTTAACCACAGTCACTTAAGACCACTGTCTTCACTCCTTCTCCCCCGTCGCCATTTACTCCATATTGGGTGTTATTAGGATGGCCATGGGCATTTTGTGTTCAAAATTTTGTGTTCTCTTTTTCACAGAGGCCCCCAAATTATATACCCTCAGGCCCCATGAGGCCCGGTTTGTTTCTGCCTTAATAACAGCCCAGTCCCCCAAGCCAAGTTTCCTGAGGGGTTTCATCTTCGTACCTCAGGGGACGAGTGGCTTCCCTGGAGCTTCCCGGCTCTCCCTTTGAGGCCAGGAGCACACCAGGCTTTCCAGAGGCTCTGCTCTTGGGAGGACCCAGGCTGGCCAGTACAGAAGAGGTCACCTCCACATGGAAGTCTCTCAAAAGCCCTCTCTTCTCCCCCTTTTTAAATTATATTATGCTTCAAATTATACAAACAACAGGTGAACCTATCACTCTGGGAAAACCCAGGTAATTCGGAGACAGCAGCTGTCTCCACAGGTCCTCACCGTTATTAGCCTGATGTGTGTTTCCTCGATCTTCAGTGTGTATCTAGGTTCTTAGATGCATTTATCTTAAAAAATATATAGTTTCGTTTTATGGGAATGTCTTTTCTATGGGAAATTTTTTCTATTTGTTTTTGTTTTGTTTTATGAGAATTTCCTATACTTTTTATATTCTCTTACAACTTTGTGTTTTTTTGTTTTTGGGGGTGTTTGGGGTTTTTTTGCCAAGTTTTTCAACATCAAATAAACCTACCTTGTTCTTTCGACCTCTCGTGTTCTGTTCCATATTATGGATATACCACAGTTTATTTGGGGTATGAGTCTATCGATACTGAAGACATTTCCACTTTGTGGCTTTTACATTATACAGTGAAAAACTTTGTCAATTCTTTGTATACCTGGGTGCTTCTGAGCGTTCAGGCACGTGCATTTTTAGTGTTAATGTAGATACTGCTAAGTTGCCTCCCCAAAGTGGCATGACTATTTACTTTTAACCAATTTCTCCACAGCCTCTCTGACCTTGCTATTATCCTTTTGTTTTTGTTTTTGCAAACTGGTGGAACAAAATGACATCTTGTGTAATTTTCATTGATCTCCATATTTTTTATTGGCCTTATTTACTGAGGTTTTCTTTGAATTGCCTGCCTATATAGTTTGCTTGTTACATATTTGCTTCCAATTTGTTAATTCCATTTCTCCATTGTTTGTGTGCTTTTCTGTTGTAAAGAAGTTTTAGGGGGCACCTGGGTGGCTCAGTGGGTTAAAGCCTCTGCCTTCGGCTCAGGTCATGGTCCCAGGGTCCTGGGATCGAGCCCCACATTGGGCTCTCTGCTCAGCAGGGAGCCTGCTTCCTCCTCTCTCTCTCTGCCTGCCTCTCTGCCTACTTGTGATCTCTGTCAAATAAATAAATAAAATCTTTAAAAAAAAAAGAGAGAGAAGTTTTAGGTTTGGGGTGCCTGGGTGGCTCAGTCAATTGGGCATCCAACTTGATTTTGGCTCAGGTCACGGTCTCAGGGTCATGAGATCAAGCCCCACTTGGGGCTCTCTCTCTCTCCCCCTTCTTCTGTTCTTCCCACTGCATGTGAATGCACACACTCTCTCTCTCTCTCTCTCTCTCTCTCTATCTCAAAAAAAAAGGGGGAGGGGAGAAGTTTTAGGTTTGAATATAGTGAGAATTTTCTATCCCTTTTTTTTTTTAATATTCATTCTACTGAAGGCTTTCTCCTCTCAATGTTATAAATAAGTTCTCCTGTGGTTTCTTCTAATAATTTCAGAATTTTGTTTTTGACATTTCACTCTAATTCATAGAGGAGAGTGTCTTTTGTGAATGGAGTGAGAAGGGGGTCACTTTTATCTCTTTTTTTCAAATAGCCAATTATCACACAAATATCCTTGAGTAATTCATCTTTTCCCATTTGTTTTGAAGTGTGATCTTTTATCATTCTTGTATATACTTTTATGTTCTTTATCCTGTCCCATTACAATATTCATCTACCTACACCAGGACCTACTGAACTTTGGAGCAAAACTGCCAGGGTTCTAATCTCATCAATGCCACCCAGTTATTTTCTGTTCTATTTTCCATACTTTTGCTGTTGTTCACCTTTTGGGGAGAGCTCATTGGCTCAGTCTCTCCACTCTCTCACTGAGTTTTTCATTTTTGCTATCATATTTTTATTTACAAGAGCTTCCCTTTTTTCTCTGATTGTTTATTTGATAAATACTATGCCTTCCCTAAAAATGTTTCTAATTGTTGGTGTTTCTTCTCCATGTTTGGTCTGTTTTCCCCAAGCTGCTTTTTTCTTCCAATTTGTTTTGGTCTCGATCTTTCCGAAGAGATGCTCTCCTCACTGCCTGGTGGTAGTTGGCTCTCTACTCGTAAGAGTGGGAGTCATGGGGAAACTGACAGGATGCCAGCCTTTGGGCATGGGTGGGGCTGGTTGACTGGGGTTTTGCTAAAGAGTGCCCCAACTGGGTTTTAATATTGGGAAATGCTCAAATCAGTGTTTGGAGAATACAGGTCTCTCCTGCAATCTAAAAGGAGAGCATTCCTATAAAACCTTTCCTAAGCCAAAATGGTGTAAAGTGAAGAAGGGATTACCATTAATTTATATGGAAAAATTTTTGAGCATTCCCAGACTCCCAAAATAACCTTAGGCTTTTCTGATATCTTAGAACACATCTTGCTAATGTATATATAAAATAAAATGACATGAAGTACAAATGCTCACAGACACAGTCAAAAGCTATGGTTCATGATGCCTACATGCTGGGTATAGCTCCCAGGGAAGGATTTGCAGGGGTGGGGGTGGGAGGGAGCTGCTCTAAGCAGGTGCTGTGTGCCTCTCTAACTGCAGCTCTCACCTGAATTGCGGAGGCTTGTGGGAAGACACCTTGGGGGTGGGGGTGGGGTGACATCTACATTCAGTGTGTCAACTTTAACTTCATTCTGTTGGCTCCATGGAGATAGGGAGTCTAAGAAAAGCCTAGCATCAGCTTTGGTGGCTGTGTCTCTTGGGGGTGGTGATGTTCAGGAGTGGTGTCCTGGCTACATTTTCACTGCCTACCCTCTTCCCTAGGTTCCTTCCAATTTTCTGAATAAGGAATAAATTTAATTCCTTCCAATTTTCTGAATTAGGAATAAATACTTGAATGCTTCTTAATGAGATTTTCAACCAGGGGTGTGTGGGTGGCTCAGTTGTTTAAGCCACTGCCTTTGGCTCAGGTCATGATCCCAGGGTCCTGGGATCGAGTCCCACATCGGGCTCCTTACTCAGCAGGGAGCCTGCTTCTCTCTCCTCCTCTCTCTGCCTGCGTGCTCTCTCTTTCTCTCTCTCTCTGACAAATAAGTAAGTAAGTAAGTAAGTAAGTAAATAAATAAATAAATAAAATCTTTAAAGAGATTTTCAGCCAATCCTGTTTCTGGCCCCACTGGCAGTTCACTCAAGACACCTGGAGCTGCCATTTTTTCGAGTCTTAGGGTGTTTGTGGTATAAATTGGATGCCTCCCAGGCTTTCTCCCCTACTGGTTCAGACCTGACATTCTTGGGCCTGCTAAATCATTTAGCCACCTGCTTTCCAACTTCAAAATTTTCTTGCTTTTGTCTCCTTTTTATTCTTATTCCTTATGAGTTTAGTCCTTTTTGAAAAAGCACCTTTTTGTCATTTTAATGGGGTTTCAGGAAGGAGAGGTGTTAAGTGTTAAATGTGGACACTACCATCTGTATTTTCTAGCATGTTCGTGCTAGTCTGTGGCTGTATCAGTATTCCAGGTCCTTAGTTACAGCAAAGAAACTGGAAGAATATCAAGTTTCAGAAAATTGGGAGGAATGCTACTGATTTTTGTATATTGATCCTGTATTTGAGTGAGGTCGGCAAAACCTAGATCCTGGCGGGTTCATGCAAGCACAGGGTGGGCACCTAAGAGTGAGCGCCTCCTTAAATTTCGTACTTTACTTCCTTCACCTGAGTCTCAGGACCCTTGGCCTCTTTACTGAAGTTCTAATGGTCTGTCAGCTGAAACTGTTGGATTTTCTAACTAGACAATCATAGACAATCCTAACGGTAGATAATGACAGCTTTTCCTCTTTCAAGTATTTATTCCTATTTATTTTTTGTTCTTGCCTTGTTCTATTTTCTAGGAGCTCTAGTAAAATGTTGAATAGTCATGGGGACAGTACACTATCCAGGACCCAAATGGGACACTCCAAGTGTTTCACCATTTTGCATGAAGCTTACTAAAGGTGTTTGACATAAATACCCTTCTGCAAATTAAGCATGTGTCCCTCCAGCCTTTGTTTGCTAAGAGTTTGTTATTGTTCTTTTTTTAAATTAGGAATAGATATCAACCTTCATCAAATACTTCCTCCTCATCTTTTCAGTTTTTCTCCTTTAATCTGCTAATGCAGTGGATTGCATTAATAGATTTTCTAATGTGGAAACATTCTTCCTTCCATTCTTGGATAATCCATACTTGGTAATAATTCATTTAATTGCACTGTCAGTTTGCTTTGCTGATATTGAAGTCCTAAATAAGATATTAGCAAAGCAGAATGATAGTTTGGTGTTCATAGAGTATCCAGGTTCAAACATGAGATTGGCTTGTAGAGTTTTTTTTTTCCTTGTGGTTTTCTTATCAGCATTTGGTATTAGTGTTATGCTAGCCTTGTAAAGAAAGCTGGATGTTTCTTTTTTTACCCTCTAGGTCCAAATAAGTCCTATATTATCTCTTTTGAAAAAGATTTTATTTTTTTTTATTTATCAACAGAGAGAGTGAGAGAGCGCAAGTGGGGGGAGTAGAAGGGGAGTGAGAAGTGGACTCCCAGCTGAGCAGAGAGCCCGATGTGGGGCTCAATCCCAGGACCCTGGGATCATGACCTGAGCCGAAGGCAGACGCATAACCATCTGAGCCACCCAGGCACCTTATATTATCTTTTTAATTTCAAATTAAAAAAAAAAATTTGAGCCTAGTTCAGTCACAATTCATTTATTAGTGTAGATCTATAACTGTAGATATGTGTAAATATGTTTTTCCTATGGTTTAAAAATAAAAACCTGTCTCTTAAATTAGTCCCTTTTCCTGTTCTTAATGTTATTTATGTGTGCCTTCTTTTAATTTTTTTAAAAGGAGCTGTTTGTAGATCCAACTCACCAATTTTAACTTGCCAATATTTTCTTAATAAATTTTACATGTATGTTCATGAAGAATATTTAGTTTCCTTTTCTTCTTTTTAAGATTTTTTTTTAAGTCATCTCTAAACCCAACTTGGGGCTTGAGCTCAAACCCAAGATGAAGAGTCACACATCCCACCACCTGATCAGGCCCGGTACCCTGGTTTTATTTTCTTATAACATCTTTGGTTGTGGTATGAGGGTGATGCTGGTCTTGTATAATAAGTTGGAATATTCCCATTCTATTTTCTGGAAGAGTTTGTATAGAATTCGTATTATTTCTTCTTAAAATGTTTGATAGAGTTAACCAATAAAGCCATCGAGCTGTGGAATTTTCTTTGTGGAACTACAAATTCGATGTCTTGAGTGACAAAGGGTTATCGCTTTCTTCTTAAGGAAACTTTTGTATATTATCTAAGTTACCTAAGGTATTGACTTAGAGTGGTTCATAATCCCATGTTATCCTTTCATTATCTGTAAAATCTGTTTTTTTAAAAAGCTAGATGTATTTATTTATTTATTTATTTTAGAGAAAGAAAGAGAGGGAGTGAGCAGGAGGAGAGGCAGAGGGGAAAGAAACTCAAGCAGACTCCATGCTGAATGCAGAGACCGATGCGGGGCTTGAACCCATGACTCTGAGATCATGACCTCAGCCAAATCCATACCGAGCCACCCAGGCACCCCTCTAAAATCTATTTTGATGTCACCTTCTTCATTTCTGATATTGGTTTGTTTGTTTGATTGATTGATTTGAGATAGAGAGAGAGAGAGAGACAGAAAGAGAGACAGAGACAGCTGGTGGGGGAGGAGCAGAGAGAAAGAAAGGGAGAATCCCAAACTGACTCCCCATTGATGGAAGGTGGGGGACTTTATCTCACAACCTTGAGATCATGACCAGAACCAAAACTGAGAGTCAGACACTCAAATGACTCCCATTTCTGATATTGGTAATTTGTATTTTCTCTTTTTTTCTTAATCAGCTTGGCTAGAGGTTTGTCAATTTGATTAATCTCATCAAAGAGCCAGCTTTTGGTTTCATTTCTTTTCTTCATTTTTTTCTGTTTTCTATCTCATCGGTTTCCAATTTGATTATTATTTTCTTTCATCCACTTAGTTCAGGTGTAAGTTTTTCCTTGTTTTCTAGTTTCTTAAGGTAGAAAGGTAGGTCATTGATTTGAGATCTTCTTTTCTGATATAGGCATTTAGTGCTATAAACTTACATCTAAGCACTGTTTTAGTTGCTTCCTTTATATTCCTTTATATTTATATATATATATATTTATAATTCCTTTATATTCCTTATATTTTTTAAAGTATTTTTAATTTTTTTAATAAACATATAATGTATTATTAGCCCCAGGGGTACAGGTCTGTGAACTGCCAGGTTTAAACACTTCACAGCACACAGCATAGCACATACCCTGCCCAATGTCCATAACCCCACCACCCTCTCCCTACTCCCCTACCCCCAGCCACCCTCACTTTGCTTTGTGACATTAAGAGTCTCTTATGGTTTGTCTCCCTCCCAAGCCCATCTTTGTTCATTTATTCTTTTCCTACCCCCAAACCCCCCACGTTGCATCTCCACTTCCTCATATCAGGGAGATCATATAATAGTGAACATGAATTGGAAGAACAAATATTGTGAAAATGTCTATGTTACCTAAAGCAATCTACACATTTAATGCAATCCCTATCAAAATCCCATCCATTTTTTTCAAAGAAATGGAACAAATAATCCTAAAATTTATATGGAACCAGAAAAGACCTCGAATAGCCAAAGGAATATTGAAAAAGAAAGCCAAAGTTGGTGGCATCACAATTCCGGACTTCAAGCTCTATTACAAAGCTGTTATCATCAAGACAGTATGGTACTGGCACAAAAACAGACACATACATCAATGGAAGAGAACAGAGAGCCCAGAAATAGACCTTTCTTTATATTTTGATGTTATTTTTAAAAATATTTCAAATTACTTCCCAATTTCCTTTTTGACATATTTTTTGAACAATGAATTATTTAGAGGTATATTATACTTCTAAATACTTCTATACTTTGGAATATCCAGATGTCTTTATTTTTGTGATTTCTAATTCCATTGTGATTAGAGAACATGCTTCATATAATTTGAAACCTTTTAAATTTATTAAGATTTGTTTTGTGCCCAGAATATGGTTTATCTTGTTAAGTGTTTTATGTGCACTTGAAAACAATGTGTATTCAGCTATTGTTGGTCAAGTTATTTAAGTCTCCTATATATTTACTGCTTTTCCTTCTATATCCTTACTATGCTCTTACTGGGTTTCTGTCTATTCTATCAGTTATTGGGAGAGGAGTGTTCAAATCTTTAAGATTACAGATTTATCAGGATTGCTGCCTGAGGTGGGAGGGCAGAGATGGTTAAAAAAATAAATTACAGATTTATCTATTTCTGCTTTCACTTCTATGAGCCTTTGCTTCATGTATTTTGAAGCTCCGTTATTAGGTGTGTAAACATTCGGAATGTTATATCTCCTTGGTGAATTGACTATTTTATCATTATTCAGTGAATCTTTGAACTCTGGTAATATTTTGTGCTCTGAAATCTATTATGTCAGATATTAATACAGTCACCCCAGCTTTCTTTTCATTATTTTTACAAGAAGTATCTTTTTCTATATTTTTAATATTGGTGTCTTTGTATTTAAAATGAATTTCTTTTTGACAGCATGTAGTTGGGTCTTACCTTCTTATACAGTTTTTGTACAATTACCTTTAATTAGGGTAGTTAGGCCATTTATGTTTAATGTAATTATTGATGTGTTTGAATTTAAATCTATCACGTTGCTATTTACTTCCTATTTGTCCCACTTTTTCCCTTTTTTTCTTCCCTTCCCCTCTTTTTCTGTCTTCTTTTAGATATGTTTTTAATGATTCTGTTATATCCCCTTTGTTGGCTTCTTAGCTGTGCCTTTTCCTTATTGTAGGATATGATGGTTTGTTTTAGAGGAGACATTAAGTTGAGTCTTCCAGTTCACATAATGAAGATCAAACCACCCAAACCAGTTACAGGTTAGTATAATTCAACTAACTGCTCTCTTTCCTTCTGCCATTGATTTTTTTTTTTCTTTTCTTTTCTTTCTTTTTTTTTTTTTTTGCCTTTCTCCACATTTCCCATCTTTTCTACTTATTAGCAGCAATATCTAAATTACAAGTATAGTTCTGAAAGGAAAAAAAATTTTAAGTCATAAGCTCTGGGATCTAAAGACAAAAAATATAGAAGTTACAAGGATACAGCTAATTAACAGAATTGGGAAATCTGGAAAGACAGTCATCTAGCTGGAGTTTATTCATTTCTATATTTCTGTGTTCGTTCATTCATCAGTATTTGCTGAGTGCCAATAATGCACCAAGCACACAGATGAGGGGTCACCTTCCTGTGCTCTAAAAGCTGCAGTGCTACCAAAGAGGAGTAAGAGGAAACCAACATTGTATGTTATGATAAGTGCAATGATGGGGAACATCTAGGACCACGAGAACATAGAGGAAAGAGTGACTAACTCTGCCACAGAGCAGGCAAAGCCTATATCAAAGGACGAGGCAGTTGGGAAAGTTTTGAAGGATAAGTAGGAGTAGGTCATGAGGTGCAGAGGAGAGGTCCATTATAGGCAGAGGATAGAGTATATCCTTTCAATACGTGCACATGACATAAAAGATATAAGAACATTCACTGCAGCAGTATTTATAGATGCAAAAGACTAGTTAAATAAAATCTGGCCACACGCATCCAAAGGAATACTTTGCAACCATTAAAAACAAAGAAGGAAATTTAAAAAGCCAAGAATATCTAGTTCACTCTCATAAAGGAACATGATGATATGATTTGCTCCATCAAGATTTATTATAAAGCTACAGTGATTAAGACAAGATAAAAAAAATAGATGAATGAACTATCATGGAGGCCAGGACAGACTCAGGCATTAGTGGCCACTTGATATCTGAGGGGTGGCACTCCAGAGCTGTGGAGAAAGGATGGTCATTTCAGTAAATGGTGCTGCTTGTCCATATGTAAACAAAAGTGAGATGGGACTCCTGCCTCATGCCACACACAAAAATAAATTCCAGGTGACTCACAGAAGTAAATAAGAGAAAACAATAGAGCTTTTAAATATTTTTTAAAGATTTTATTTATTTGAGAGAGAGAGAGGGAGCACAAATAGGGGAAAGGGGAAGAGGGGGAGGGAGAAACAGATTGTCCACGGAGCAGGGAACCTGACTTGGGGCTCGAACCCAGGACCCTGAGATCATGACCTGAGCTGAAGGCAGGTATTTAACCAACTGAACCCCAAGCTGCCCCAACAATAAGGCTTTTAAAAATTAATATAAGACAATATCTTTATGACTTCCGGGTAGGGAAAGACTTTTTAAACAAAACAAATAGAAAAAGCACTTATAATAAAAGAAAAATTTGATAAATGTGGCTACTAAAATTAAGGACTTCCCGTCACCCTAAGACATCAGTAAAAGCATGAAAGAACAAGCCACATAATGGGGGGAGACATTTGCAAAACACATAAATCTTATGAATGGTCCATATCAAGAGTATATACAGAATTCCTACAACTTATTAAGGAAAAGTGACAATCGAGTATAAAACAGGCAAGATGGCCTTATTCAAATGGCCAATAAACATATGAACATATGTGCTTAACATCCTTAGTTATCAGGGAAATGCAAATGAAAACCATAACAAGCTACCATTCCACACCCACCAGGATGGCAACGATGAAAAGAGGCTGATGGTACCAAGTTGGTAAGGATGTGAAATAACCATAACCAGAGGTCGCATGCACGGTACCCATGAAAATCGGTACAATCACTTTGAGAAACAGTTTGGTATGATCTAGTAATGTTGATGATGATTTATACCGAGACCCAGCACTTACACTCTTAGCATGACTAACCGTTCCAGCTTGCCTGGGACTGAGGTGATTTCTGGGGTGTGGGGCTTTCTCCGCGAACAGTAGGGACTTTGTGAGCAAACCCGGGGCGGTGGGAAGTGGTCCCCCTCCTTCTAGGTGTATACCTGATAGGTTCACAAGTAAATGCTCCCCCGATATTTACAGACATGTACAAGAATGATAGCAGTGACGTGATTTTTCAGTACCCGCCCATGTGAAACAACCGAAATGCCCATCAACGACAGAACAGATGTAACTGTCATATATTCATTCACTCGATGGGACACTGTCAATAAAAAGGAACAAACTATAGCCATCTGCAACAAAATGGCCAAATGCCACAAAGAGTATTAACCCAAAGAGGGCTTAGAGTTAACACTGTATATAATCCCATTTGTGTATATAGTGCAAAATCAGGCCGAACAAAGCTATCGTGTTTAGATGCACGTTGAGACAGAAGTAAAATAAATAGAATGCGGTGCTTACACAGAAGCCAGGAGAGTGGCTTCCGCTGTTCCCCGGAGGCTGTGACTGGAGACAGGCCTTTGCGGAATTTCTAGGGAGCACACATTGTCCCATCTCTGGACCTGAGTAGAGACAGATGTTTGCCTTGTAATAATTTATTAAGATATATATTTTTATGCTCTTTGCTGAATGTATTATATTTCACATAAGAAATTTTTTCAGAGAATGGAAACAAGCAACAGGAACACCCAGGTGGCTCAGTCAGTCAAGCAGCTGCCTTTGGCTCAGGTCATGATCCCGGGGTTCTGGGATCCAATCCCGAATGGGTTTCCTGCTCAACGGGGAGCCTGCTTCTCCCTCTCCTTCTGCCGCTCCCCCAGCCTGTGTGCTCCTGCTCGCTCTTGGTCAAATACATAAACAGAGTCTTAAAAGAAAAAAAAAAAAAAAAAAAGGGCACCTGGGTGGCTCAGTGGGTTAAAGTCTCTGCCTTCGGTTCAGGTCATGATCTCAGGGTCCTGGGATGGAGTCCCACATCGGGCTCTCTGCTGGGCGGGGAGCTGCTTCCCCCTCTTTCTCTCTGCCTGCCTCTCTGCCTACTTGTGATCTCGTCTGTCAAATAAATAAATAAAATCTTAAAAAAAAAAAAAAAGGAAAAAGGAAAAAAAAAGAAGAAAAGAAAACAAGTAACAATGAGGAAGATCTATAGTACTGATAGGAAGAGATCTCCAAGCCACTGCGAGTGAAACACGCAAGAGTGCTCATGTCTAAGAACTACTCTCAAACGTTAGCTGCATCAGACTCACCTGGAGAACTTGTTAGAACCCGGATGGCTGGGCTCCACCCACTGAGTTTCCCCTTCCGCCTGGGGTGGGGCCCGAGAATCTGCATTTCTAACAAGTACTGTTGAGCCTGCGGGATCCCTGCTGATCAGGGACCCCACTTCAGGGAACTGCTTGTGTATCCTTCGCTGCCATTCGTTTATACAAAAAGGGTCTCCTTGTAGCAACCAATGCAAGAAACCAGGGACAGTGGATGTCTCAGGGGAAGGGGAACTGGGGCACTATGAGGCCTCCAGCCCACTCCAAAGAGAGCAGAGTTCTCAAAGCTGGGGTGGGCACCCAGAAAATCAATACCCAGTTTTACTGAGGATTTAGGAACAGTTGAAAAAGAAGGAAATGAAAGGTTTCGGGGGAAGTCGAGTGGGAAGAAAAGTGTTTGGCAGAGAGGAGATTTTTGAAGGAAGGCGGTGGGGTAGGTGAACTCGGGGCGGGACTGATTACGTGGGCCTTCAGCAGCAGCTCAGTAGTGACCATAACTGGCCGTTTGGGGCCTTGCTGACCTGGGGACACAGCACCGGTGGTCTGAGGCCGCCTCTGCGGATCCGGTAACCCGGAAACAGGAAGTGGCGGTGGGATGGGGCTGTAGTAGCTGCGCTTCGCCTGTGCTCCCTGAGCAGCCCGGGGTAGGAAAGAGGCAGGGCGAAGGTTGAACCCCGGGCTCCCACATGGACTTCTGGGGATGAGGGATTCCACAGGAAACTGGGAAGCACCGAGGAAGGAGGGAAAATCAGGAAGGCGGAAGTCCCAGGGTTTGACCAATTCTGGAATCTTTTCATCCTAGGTACCACGTTCAAAAGCCCCCTGGAAATCTTTGCCAAGGTAGAGGACTACTATGGCCTGGGCTCGGGGCAGAACCACTTCATCAAGGACAGTCAGTGGGAGCAGCAGGCGGCCATCTTGCACGCCTCATACAGGAAGGACCCGGACACGGAGTGGGAGGAGGAGCCACTCAGGTGAGCGGGCCGGGGGCCCCGGGAGCCCCCTGCTCCCCGGAGCCGTGGGGGCACACGCAGGAACGTGTGCCCAAGCCCGTGAATTCATCTAAGAGCTCCAACTGGTTTCAGGGATTTTTTTTCCAAGAATTTCAGCAGATGTTTTGAAAAAGTGTGTGGAGATTGTTCAAATACTGTTAGGATAGAGGCTGACCACGTGGATTTCAAAGAGGGGATAGACGTGTGTGCGGAAGAGTTTAGTTTACAATTTTGTGCACATCATCTCTTAAAATTTTTTTATCTTTTTTTGATAATTTTTGATTATCTTGTCAAGATAATTTTTGACAAGATAATATCTTGTCAAGATAAATTTTGATTATCTTGACAACACAGAAGAGCCTGCAGATTGACATAAAAGTCTCACTATTCAGTGAGACTCACTATTCAATTTCCATCCAGTTTTTCTAAACGTCATATATTAATGTCTAATTACTTAAATACCTTCCTCTGTAACCTCAGGCAGCAGGAAGGGCTCATGAACTCCCTGCTGTGATTGTAAAAACTGAGCCCAAGTCTTTGAACTTGGTAGAGCTGGTTTTAGGAGCTAGCTCTCCTCACAGCTATGCTGAACCTCTGGAATGTTCTTGCTTTACCCGGGAAGCCTCACATCTTGCTGTCAAGAGCATCTCGAATTTTCTCACTTGGGGACACAGACTCCTAGGGTTGTGCCCTCATAGCAGCTACCAGAGACCTGAAGCGGGACCCCATGAGGTTCAGGGGTGCACTGCCTAGCTGGGTAGTTAGGAGTGTTGCAGGCTAGTTGTTAAACTATTCGCACAGTCCGTACTGGGAGTCTTTATACCACAGGAAGCTCTTGTAAATGCAAACTCTATAAATCAAGAAATTGATTGGCTTTTTCAAGAAGAGCAAATTTATCAGCACCCTCCCTAGTTGGATTACCCCCCAGCATGAGGGAGCCCAGTCTGATCACTAAGGGATCTTCCTCTAGGACAGAGAAAGTTCTGCTAGGTGCTAGGCACTGTTCCCAACCTGCGAATGACTCCCACAGCTCAGTCTGCCCCACCCTCACCAACTTCCAAGGTCTGCAGCCACCAGGACCAGCACAGAGAACGTGGAAGGTCCATCTTAACCACCCACGTCTGGTTTTAGCACCAAGATTGCCAGCGTCTCTCCTGGCCAAGGAGTCTGCTGGGGCTCTGACTGGTGTCTCTTTTTCTCCCCAGCTTGGCCACATTCCATTTCCTCCTTCCCAGCAGCATGATTGCAATGCCGGCAGAAGTCAAGAGCCCCTCGGGTAAATGAACACGAAGCAGGGGGTTATCCTTGGCAGTGAGCCACTGGAGGGAATGCCTCAGCAAACCCTGCACTGTGGGAGGGAGGGAGGCAGGAAGTAGGTCACTAGCTTCACAGCTGGAGCTTAATGGTTTCTGGCTGGATGCATGGCACCCAGATTCCCTGATGACAGAGACTGGCATCGTCTCAGGGAGGGACCTGCCACAGAGGAGGGCATGAGCCCATAGCCCGCCGGGCTGCTTCTAGACATGAATTCATTTTGTACAAAAGGTTATTTAAAACACTGACAGCCAAGAGGACATGAATTATCTAGAAGATGTGAAAGCAGCCCAGGGGTAGTGACCATCCTCCCCACCCAGGAAGGTGACTTGGCCTTAGGTACAGCCCTCCCAGGGATGCCCCCCCACTCCCCAGGAGGCACGTCCTTCTGTTGCCTGCTGCCCATTAGAACAGACCACTTTTGATTGCAAACCGACTTCCTCTTGGGCAAACAGCTTCTGTACACACCAGAGGGTATCTAGATTCCTTACATGATGCCCCTCTCTCTTCTTTCCCAGGGGTAGCCTGTGTCCTTGGCATACACTGGCCTGGAAATCACAACTTCTTCCTCTATTCACTTCACCGAACTCTGAAGGATAAAGTCGGTACTTTGAGATGGGGGTTCCCTAAGCTCAGAGCTCTCAGAACATGGCCTTCTCCAGCTTAGTTGAGGGCACGTGACTGACGTGTCACTTTAGGGGACCAGAGCTGTGCAGGCAGAAGCAGGTGGCTCAGTGGCTGGGGTGTCAGTGACCGCAAGGCTCTGTCTCTGAGCGGTCCCGTTTCTTAAAGAGAACAGGTCAACAGGGACAAAACCCGGTCCGGTCCCCAGGACTCCTTTGGCAGCTCAGGTAAAGAGAGGCCTGGCGTCAGAGGCCAGATCCAGCCCGGGCCCGAATATTTGTAAACTGCGTGCCGTCAGGCCAGCCACCATGAGCCCCAGTCCCCTTTTCTCATCTGAAACACAGAGCTAATTCACGACGCCATCCCTGCCCCCTGCTTGCCCTTGTCGGGAAGAGCCAAATCCAGAGGGTTTCCGGATGTGAAAGCTCTTTGAAACTGACAGGCACTTTGGAAACACGGTGGTGGTTTGGTTTATACAAACTCATGGTTGTCGAGCAAGTTCACTTCGGGGTGATTCCTTGAGCTGTTCACTTAGGTTATATTTCAGAATTATACAAGGATAGTGAAATGTGAAAATGGGCAAAGGAAGAATCTCTCTCCTTCCAGCCCTCTCCCAGGCAGCGCGGCTTCCAATACCAACCTCTGTACCGACTGGCTGGGACCTGGGGCAGGTCGCTTACATCTCTGCCTCAGTTTCCACATCTGTGAAATAGGGGTGCTAACAGGACTCACCTCACGGGACCCTTGTGAGAATTAACTGAAAGGAGGCATGGAAAGGGCTTACTACAGTGCTCAGCACCTCGTAAGCCTTCACTCAGTGTTAAGCTGCGGGGGGACAGTAGCATGACCCCTTCTTTTATCCTTAGGAGGGAGACAGCATTGCCGAGAGGTGAGCGAGAGGGTGAGCCCAGACCACGGTTCCTGCCCACGTCCCTGACAGGCAGATTCGTCTGGGTCTCGGGCTGTGCAGGTGGAGGTGCTGGGTGGGGGCGGAGGCTGGGGGACAGCCTTGCATGCTGTGTCCTCCTCGCAGACCCGGAGAGCGTGTGGCCCTGCGCCGCGCCCATTACGGTCTCCCAGCTCAGCCGCACCTGCACCTTCCTAGTGCTGGCCTGCGAGGATGGCGTGCTCACGCTGTTGGACCTGGCCGAAGGTGAGCCCCATCTCTGCCTAACCCCTGGATGGGTCTCTGGGTAACCAGAGTCCGGGAACGCTGGAATTCCTGTAGGCTCGGGGCCTACTGTTAGTTACTCTGTGTTCTTAGGTCAACTTGGGGAGCTGGTCCTGCCTTCCCCTCATTCACTCATTCAACAGACATTTATTGAACTTAATATGTGTGGACAATTCCCATTCCCTGTGGATTTACGAGTGCCAGCTCCGTCCCCGCACCGGACCAGGGCCTGGAAGTCTGTCCATTTCCTCACTGTCACTCTCTGGGGAGGAAGTGTCTTCCAGCCCTGGGTGTGGCACCATAGCAGCCTCAGCCCTCTCCCCGTCTCCCCCAGGCTCTCAAAATAAGCAAGTCCTCCTTCCTGCTATTCTACCCCCTCCCTGGTCAGCGGGAACCTCACTGGTATGGAAACTAAGAGACCTCAAAGGGGACCAGGCCAAGACCAGCAACTATTCTGGGTGGGCGGTAACTTGCAAGAGTCCTGGGTCCTGGGTCTCGCTCTGCAGGTGCAGAAAATCAGCGGTGTCTACTTGCCCGAAGTTGATCAGGATGTAAGGGAGTGTCTCCCTTTAATTAATTAATTAATTAATTAATTAAAGAGAGAAAGGGGAGGAGGGGCAGAGGGAGATGGAGAGAGAAAACCTAAGACTCCCCACGGAGCACAGAGTCCAACATGGGGCTCCATCCCACCCATGAGATCATGACCGGAGCCGAAACCGAGAGTTGGACGCTTAACCGACTGAGCCACCCAGGCGCCCCGGGAGTGTCTCCCTCTTATAGGACTTTCTTAGATGGGATGACTGAATCACTGGTTTGCCCTTTTGTAATTGGATATGTGTCTCATTTGGGAGTAGAGGTGCGCCATCTTCCCCGGCCGCGCTCCTAGCCCATGTGTCGGTGAGAGTTCGGGATGGTGCCCTGGCTCGTGGCCGTCTCCGGGACGCGTCTGTCAAGCCGGTGAAGTGCCTTCCTCACTTGGCTTATTTATCTGACGAAGCCATGGTTGTTTCCAACAGTGCTTACTCCACCCACATGGCGGGAAGATAAACAGGGCTCCAGGCCCTCTTGAACCTGAGTTACTACACCACAGTGTTCTTACAATGGCTAAAGATATGTCAAAGTCAGGGGCACCTGGGTGGCTCAGTGGGTTAAGGCCTCTGCCTTTGGCTCAGGTCATGATCTCAGGGTCCTGGGATTGAGCCCCGCATCGGGCTCTCTGCTCAGCGAGGAGCCTGCTTCCCCTCCTCTCTCTGCCTGCCTCTCTGCCTACTTGTGATCTATCTCTGTCAAATAAATAAGATTAAACAAAAAAAAAGATACGTCAAAGGCAGAAGGGTGATACTAATGGCACATTCACTTGCCCAATAGCTTGCTTTCATTTTTCTGGATGTTGATACATTCTGGATATTGCTTGGCGACACACACACGTGTCCCTCTCCTTCTCCGAGACCACCCCGGCCCTTGCCCCCTCTGTTGTACCTCGACCTGCCCTGGTCAGCCGTGGTTCAGGACCAGGCTGGGTGTAGCTTCCTTCCTTCCGTCCCAGTGCTGACTCAGCCCCCCTCCACGGGGCTGGTCCTCCCTGTCCCCCCATGCCTCTCCGTACTCAGAAGGGGGGGCTCTTCTCTCCCACTGGGCTTTGGGGTTTCTGGTTTCACTCTCAGAGGGTTCTCATGGCTGGATCTTGCCTTCACATCACTCACACACCTGCTGGTCACGGACCCCGAGCCCATGGCTGCATCGTCGTCTGGCCACTTTTCTGATCTGCTGGTGCAATTATTTCTCCAGGTTTCCCTCTTGGGGTCATCGCTCTTCCCAAGGGTTGTTCCTGCCAGAGCATTCACTTCATGAAGTATTTCTTAGTCCATGAAGGAAAGAACATGTATCCTGAGAATCCCTTGAAATCCCAAATGAAGTGTGTGGTGCTGTGCACAGACTCTTCTCTCTACCTGGTGACAGCCAGAGGGACCCAAGGACCCAGCGTCAGTGTGCTCGCTGAGAGGTGGGTAGCTCGAGCGCAGGACGGGGTGAACGAGCTGCCAGCCAGATGGCGCCTTTCACTGATAGGACACCGACCACCTCCCCCAACCCGTGAGCGTCCCAAGGTCCCCACTGTCTTTTATATGTGGGTAGATATGTAAAACTCATCTTGCAAAAATTGTATGATGGCACAAGGGACACCTTTCGTGTCCCACATGCATGACCAAGAAGAGCATCATTTCTGCCAAAAGAGCCTTTTATCCGTTTCCTCAAGGGTCTCTTCTAAATTGTGAAATACTTTAAGCTTGCAAATGATCAACAGAATATGTGTGTGGATTTCGGGTGTATCTGTATGCACACCATATATATATATATATATATGCATATATATATATATATACACACATATATACACTATATATAGTGTGTGTGTCCACGTGTGTGTATATCTAGAGGCAGAGAGAAACTCCCCTGCACCCATCATCAAGCTTAAGAAATAGATCATCTCCCAGGTGCTTGGGTGGCTCAGTCGGTTAAGCGTCTGCCTTTGGCTCAGGTTCTGATCCTGGGGTCCTGGGATCGAGCCCTGCATCGGGCTCCCTGCTCAGTAGGGAGTCTGTTTCTCCCTCTCCCCTCTGCTTGTCCTCTCTCTCGCTGTCTGTCTCTCAAAGAAATAAACAAAATATTTAAGAAAAGATCATCTCCAATTCAGTTAAGGCTCTCTGTGTGCTTGTCCCCAGTCACACTCTTCTCTCTCCTCCCCAAAGGTAGTTCTCTATCTATTGCTGTATGTAACAAACCACCCCACAACTTAAAGGCTAAAGGAAACACTCATTATTTAGCCCCGAACCCCCGATCCTGTAGGTCGGCTGTTTGGGTGAGGCTAAGCTGGGCGGCTCCTCCACTGGTCTGGCTCAGGCTCTCATGTGTGTCCCAGGCCACCAGCAGCTCGGCCAGGGGCTGGGCGGTTCTCAGTGGCCTCACTCACCTAGGTGGCCATTTGTTGGCCATTGGCCAGGACGCTTGTTTTTCCTCCTTGTGGCCACTCCTGCAGGCTGTCTCAGCCTCCATCACCTGACAGCCCAAGGGGCCCCCTCAGCAAGCAAGGGCCACTGCAGTGCACAGTTTCCAGGCCTCTGCTCATACCACACAGGACAGAGCACATCACATGGCCATATCCACGATCAAGCAGGGGGCAAATTGACTCCATCTTTTTCCTTTTTTTTTTTTTTTAAAGATTTTTAAAGATTTTATATATTTACTTGACAGATCACAAGGAGGCAGAGAGGCAGGCAGAGAGAGAGAGGAGGAAGCAGGCTCCCTGCCGAGCAGAGAGCCCGATGCAGGGCTCGATCCCAGGACCCCGGGATCATGACCTGAGCCGAAGGCAGAGGCTTTAACCCTCTGAGCCACCCAGGCACCCCTATCTTTTTCCTTTTTTTAAGACTTTTTTTTTTTTTTTAAGATTTATCTATATGGAGAGAGCGAGTGTGCATGCACAAGCAGGGAGCAGGGCAGAGGGATTCTTTCAAGCAGACTCCCAGCTGAGCAAGAAGCCCGAAGCAGGGGGGTTCAGTCCCACAACCCATGAGTCCGTGACCAGAGCCAAAACCAAGAGTCAGACACTGAAGACTGAGCCACCCAAGTGCCCCTTGACTCCACCTTTTGATGGGAGTTGCTGCAAAATATTACGGCCAGTTTTTTTTTCCATCTATAATATGGTTTTCCAAAATTCATTATTCCTTGGCTCTCCTGTAAGAATTAACCGACCACCTAGCTGCACATTATTTGGGGCAATTGTAAATGGAATCCTATCCTGTATACTCCCCAGCTTGTTTCTCAGTGCCATTTCTTCTATCACTTGCCTTGCAACCTTGTTCATGGGAGTCACACATGTTGGGGAATGCGGCCTGGTTATTTTCCCACCTGCACTGCAGCCCGTCGTATAACAGAGTACAACGAGGCATGCTCCTCCCAGGGGACAATCAGATTGTCCCCAGTGTTTGCTACTCTGAAAAGTCCAACATTGTCGCGGCCGGCGTGACAAATTGACCAGGTCGAGAGGGTAAGAGGATGCTGAAAAGAAATTAAGAGACAAAGAGATGGGGGCAGGAGGAGCACCAAGAAGGATGTCCAATAGTGTCAATTTTATTCAAGGCAGCAAGGCATTATATAGCTAACAGAAACAATCATAAGAAAGTATCTATTTTTAGCTGATTACTAAAGAGTTTGCAGCATGCACAGAAAATCCTTCAAGCTTTCCCATTATCTATTTCCCAAGCACCGATAGCAGACCCTCTAGCGCCAGATGTACTGACTTCAAGGCCACTCAAGACATAGTTTATGTAAGCACAGCACAGTCTTACAGTGGTGTAGTCTATAGCCCGTGCAAGGACAGCAAGGACCAGACAAGAATTTCTGACCCCGACCAAATCATCTCTATCTGACTAGCAAACGTGTGGGAAGTCATGTAGGCAAGCGCACAACACATAGCACAGACCCTTTCTCAGTGCTACTCGACTTTATTGACCTAAGCCTTTTTTTCCGCTATTCAGCATTTAAAGGAGGCACAAGTCAGGGCCTGGTTTGGTCCTCGTCTCAAGCCTTATCGTGGCCTCCCACACAACATATCTCCTGATGCTTATATACATAAGAGCGTGTCTGGGGTGTATGCCCAGGAGAGGACAGTGCAGCCTGAACTCTTCCAGTATGACTGGCCATGTGTCTTGTTTCCTGCAGGCCTATAAAGCACCTGGATGAGGCCATCTGTGCAGTGGCCCCGGTCCAAGCCTTACCTGGCATGGTAGGTTCCTTGTGCCCCTCACTCCTCTTCAGTAAACGTGGTCATTTGTCCTTCAAAAACTACATGTCAAAGGCAGGTCAAGTACTAGACCCTGGACTAGCTCTGGGCTACCTGGGGATGAAAGAACAAGTCATTGCCCTGCTGGGGTCCACAGCTGAAAGCAGCTGCTTTCAGGAGGTGGTGACAAGAGAGGGTGGAGAGGACAAGGACAGACACTGGACTTGTGAGTCTGGGGGAGAGGAAATGGTGTGGCAGCTGGAAGAGGATGACATCGAGGTATGTCCCATCTACAGGGAGGAAGAAGCCCAGGCAGGAGGGAGTTCTGGCTCAGATCTCAGGCCAGGAGGGGCCATTGGAGTGAATGGGGTCCCCGAGGACGGAAGGAAAGGGTTTGTACACAGCACTAAATCCACGTGGAGGGCCGGCACCCCAGCAGGGCAGGGTGGGATACTGGCGGACTAGAAGCCAGGGCAGAAGGGGGAAGCGCCCCCCAGGATCAGACCCAGCACCTGCAGGAGGGCCTGTTGCTGCGGGGACCTCCAGAGAAGGAAACACACACACTTCTCTGCTCCCTGAGCCGCACTGGTTGCCTGAAAGCAAATCAGTCCTCTCTGTGGCCTGTTGTAATGTCCAGCTGCTTTTCTGACTCCGAATGGAGGGGACAGAGAAGTCCCCATCACCATCTCTTTGCTTCCCAGTTGCTGCTCTTCTACGAGAACGGCTCTGTACAGCTCATGGATGTGGCCAAGCCTCAGATCATCTGTGCCTTTGCTCTACCCAGAACCTACCATCTGGTGGTCCCCTGGAAGCCCTTGTTTGTCGTGTCTCTTCGACACCCGTGTTTCCTGCTCCGAGGTACTGGAGGGGGACCCCGTGGCCTGCTGGCTCTTTTCCTGACACTCGCCATCCCCTCCCAGAACACAGGGTGACACTGCCCGCTCTCTTCCCCACTCTCCCACCCCACACCACGGGCCAGAATGACGCGGCTGTTCAGCCCTCCCTAGGCGCTTAGCTAAAACACGAGGCAAGGTCTTTTCTCTGGAATCTTGCTATTCTAGATCAAGTGAGCCCAGTCAGTCACAGCTCAGTCCCAGTGAGCCAGCCTTACCAAGAGAGAGCAGCCCCCCTGTGCCCGCCCAGCCCACAGAGAAGGTCATCCCTCCACAGCGCTGGCCCTCTCGTTTCATCTCAGGAGACCATCCCGACGAAACTGAATCCAGCAACACCAAGGACATCCAGAGTTCTGTTTTCTATTTCAACCTCGAGGCCTACCCACTCCTGGAAAATCTGTCCAAAAATCACACCATTCCGGAAGCTGACATGACCGAGAACGCGGCCTTTGCCCAGGTGCTGCCCTTGGAGAAAAGATGCGAGCGTTTCCTCCAGAAGAGGTAGAGTGCTGGGTCTGCCTCCCATCCCTGCCCTTGGGGTGTCTGGATGGAGGACTAGTGGCGTTTGTTTGACGGTAAGGTCTGTCCAGCATTTAGAGCCCCCGCCAGCAGGGAACCCCACCCTCTCCTAGCCCAGGAACCGTGCCCCCGTTGCCGTTCAGCTTGGTAGAAAACGAGCAGCGGATTCAGGCTGGAAAGGAAGGGCTGCCAGTTGCTGTTTTCTCCTTGTCAAGACTATCTTTGCTTTCTGCTTTCTTGAGTCTTTGGTTTTATAAATCATATTTGGATTATCAGACGCAATCATCTAAGACAGGGTCTGTGGCTCGTTTCCATGAATAAAGTGTTCCTGGAACAGGCCCGTTTGTTAGGTTTTACCAGTGGCTGCTCGTGTGTCACAGCGGCAGAGCTGACACTGCCAACAGACACCATAGGGTCTGTCACGCCTTTGTAGAAACGGTTTTCCGGCCCCTGGTCCAAGCTCCCCTCTGCTTTATCCATCATCTGGACAAATGGTGAGGTCCTGCATCTCTCCCCTTTCCGCTGTCGCAGTGCCACCGGGACTCCGTCCACAGTCCTTTCCGCTGTAGAAGCATTGTGAACTGTGCTCTGTCCACTCTGAGAAGCAGGACTCTCTTCTCTCCCATTCACCACAAATTTCTGGCGGCTTGCAAATTCTTGTTGATTTGTGTCGTGATTGGACCATGCACTTTAAGCGGGACAGGGTCACCAGTGGAGCCCTCTACAACAGATGGGGTGGGGAGGGAATCGAGTGGTCCCTTTCCTTTCTGGGCCTTCTGTAGCGTCCGCTCTGGGACTCTGTGATCTCTCCAGTATGATCTCCTCACGCTTGCCTCCAGAGGAATGAAGGAACGGCAGGGTACTCAGCTCTGAAATCCGCCGCCTCCGCCGCTCACTAGCTGGGAGACCTTGTCGAGTCCCTTAACCTCCAAGAGCCTCAGTTTCCTCCTTAATTCAAAAAAGATGTGTGGAACGCCCACGGTGCAGCAGACTGTGCTGTGGGCTCTTCCACGATGCCTGGCCTGCAGGTGGTGTAGGTATTCGAGAGCTAATACATGTCAAGGGCTGGGCATGGGGTCGTCACTCAGTGGTAGGTCCAAGAACAACGCTGGGTTAGTCTCAGTTCGTGCCCAGGAAACTCTAGACACCACCGCCAGGTGGCGCCACGGCCCCCATGACGGCTTTTACCCGCTACACTTGGTTCCTTCCTGGGCGTGGTGGGCTGGCCTTAGGGCTTTCAGCATCCCCGGGAGGGAAGCAGGGCCATCCTGTCGGGAGCCGGGGATGGTCTGTGGGTCTTGGGGGAGGACAGCAAGGAAGGGGCCAGTAGACATTTCCCCTGATGGCAGGATTACCAAGATTTACTGAGTGCCCCTGTTCCTCCCATGGAGGCTTCTTCTTTTAACCCTTGATGGCTTGACTTGTTCTGAGGACATGCAGCTGAATAATTTAAGGGTGAAACATCATGAAGTCTAGTTTATTTTCAAGCAGACCAGGAAAACATTTAGAGAGAGAAGGAGAAAATTTGAACAATCTGTGAAACCCAGGACAATATTCATAGAGAGAGTCAGACAGACAGATAAAATGTTCATAGGTGGTGAATACAGGTGTATTGTACTACTTGCAACTTTTCTGTAGGTTTGAAATTTTTCTAAGTAAAAGATAAGGAGAAGTTTTAAATTATTATTTACAGTATAATCCTGATTTTGAGTAAAAGAAGACTGGAAATGTAGATACCCATAGTAATGGTAGTTATATTTGGGTGATCACGTATGTGTGATTTTCTTTCTTTGTACTTTCCCCTATTTGCAGCTTTTCTAAAAAAAAAAAAATACAAAACAAAAACGTGATTTTGGAAAATTTTAAATATCGGTTAAAAAAGAAGTGAAGAGTGTGAGTTTAGGCCATGGCTGTAGTGAGACTGTTCTCAGGGGAGGTCCTGGCGTGGAGATTTCTGGAGCTTTTTCCTTTTTAAAATTTTGAATTAGTCTCATAGGTAGAAATTAGTGATTCACCAGCGGCGTATACTACTCAGTGCTCGTTACAGGAAGTGCCCTCCTTAATGCCCATCCCCCAATTACCCCTGCCCCCCCACTCCCCGCACCTCCCCTCCAGCCACCCTCAGTTTGTTTCCTAGAGTTTGTCTCTTATGGTTTGCCTCCCTCTCGATTTTCATCTTGTTTTATTTTTCTTTCCCTTCCCCTGTAGCCCTGTCTCGTTTCTTCAGTCCCCCCATGAGTGCAATCATATGGTATTGTCTTTCTCTGACTTATTTAGCTGAGCATAATAGCCTCTACTCCCATCCACATCGTTGCAAATGGCAAGATTTTATTCTTTTTGATGGCTGCGTAGTATCTGCTGCTCTTTCTTGATGAGACCCAGAGAACCCCTTGTTTAAGGAGCTTGTTTCCATTTCTGCCTTTCAGTCTGACCCCTCTCTTTTACTGGCCTGGAAAGGGTGAGCCTTCCCACTTGAGCTGGAAGCCAGCCGGCTGCCCCACCTGGGGGAACGGCCCCCGGCCCCACATTTCCAGCACTGGGAGGCTCACCTCCTGCCTGGCAACGGAGGGCCTGGCCAACTCAGGGTGCCTCAGTCCCTCATGGACAAGTCCCACCCTTGGCCAAGGTATAAGTGGAGATCAGAACTCAGGACACCCGTGGAAGGAACCCACGGAAGGAAGGAAATTTGCTTCAAGCAGAGCTACTACTAAGTACTTCTCCATTGTAAAAAAAAATTATTCACTATTTCTGATAGAAGTTATTATCAATGCACTTGTAGAAATTCGGAAAACAGGACAATGCAAAAAGAATTTTTTTAAATAACTCACAGTCCATCACAAAAACCCTAGCAGGGCTGTTCATCTGTTAATTTAGGTTCAGGTTTTCCCTTTGGTGTTTTTACTAAGTTGAGATCCTATTTCATGATCAATTTTTAAGTCTGGCTTTGTGTCGCTCCAGAATAGAAGTTCATTATTTTTTTAAGAAAAACCTCCTTATAAATAAGGTTTTTAATGCCTTTGTAATTTCCATGGAAAGGCTGTGTCTACAGTATAGTTCTCCACTCCCCTGTGGTTGGGCCTGCTCTCGTAAGGACAAGGTCCATCCACTCTGACCTCCTCCAGTTCCCGTGGGAATGGACTTTTTAAAGGCGCTCTTTTCCTAATGTCTTTCATCCTTATCAACACAGCTTAGCTCTTAGGACCCACACCCCAACCTCTCCCTGGGAAGGCCCCACAGCCACTAGGAGGGGTGGAGAGGACTGCCTCCTAAGGAACCTTCTGCAGGGGAGAAGGTTGGAGAGGCTGACCAGGTGGGACATCAGGAGCCAGGGGCCAGGGCTTGGGAGCTTGGGAATGGAAAAGCCCAGGGAAGTGCTCACTGGGTCCTGGGACCCAGCAGGAGCTAGGAGGGATCACACTGTGTAGTTGTGGCCAGCCCAGATTGAAGGAACATTCACTTGGGCCTGATCACAGTGTTCGAATTATATCCCTTGTGGCAACCCATTTTCCAAACTGGGTCCCAGCAAGAATATGGGAAACATTGATTAAAAGGCTTTTTCTGTTCTCCTGCTCTGAGGTCTGATACCTGGGGTTTTCCCAAAGAGTAGTCCCTGCCCCAACATTTTAGTTTGAAATTGTCCATCCTTCCTTCCTTCCTCCCAAGAGAAAGTGCACACGGGGTGGGGGTGGGCAGGGGGAGACAGAGGAAAAAGGAGAGAGAATTTTAGCAGGCTCCATGCTGCTCGATCTCACGACCCTGAGATCATGACCTGAGCCAGAATCAAGAGTTGGACTCAACAGTCTGAGCCACCCAGGTGCCCCTTATTTTGAAAAATTTCAAAATACAGGTTTGAGGAGAAAAAAGTCACTGAACAGCCACATGCCCACAACTTAGCTTTTAACATACTTCTGCTGCTGTTTCTCACATAGGCCCCTATGTGTCCCCCCAATTTTAATCTCACCTCTTTCCCCCCCTTTAATTCCTCATGTCTAAAACAGCTTCACTGATGCTAAAAATAAGTGAAATTTCAAGGCAATGGGTTTATGTGGCAATCGAGTCAAAGTTTCAGACTTGCAATACTCTGTCCAAATTGTTTTCACAAAACCTACCCTTGGGACTTTTATAAACAGCCTGTGTGAAAGGGAGCCTGCCTTCGGGGCTTTAAAAGGAGGCCAGTTAGCTCCAAATACGTGTCCCTACCCCTCACCCCGCCACCTCCCTCCCCGAGGCCTGGCCTCTGCTCTCCTCCAGCCCAGGTCTCTAGGCACCATTTCCTGGCTCCCTGCCCTGCTTTAGAGTCTGCCCTCTCTGGCTGGCTCAAACTTGATCACAAGACAGCAATTTCTGGACACCAGGAAGCAGACAGAAACAGAGTGCCCATTCCTCTCTATGTCTCTGTCTCTGTCTCTCTCTCCTTTCATTCCCTGTGAATACAAAGCCCAGAGAGATGCAGGGTTCTCCACATCCGGCTTTCTGCCAGAAGGTGGGCTTCGGGGGTGACCCAACAGTCCAGGTCCACAGCCAAGGGAACCAGGGGTGGGGCAGGCGGGAAGTGATAGCCCATCACTATTTTCATCCAGAAGTGAAGGACACTTTGTAGCTTTTGTTACATATATTGTACATGTCTCTCTCTCCTTCTGTGACTTGGCTTGGATCTTTTTCCCAAGCATGAGTTCATTCTCTTTCGATTTTAAAAGTTCTGTGTCAGTGTGTTACGAACAGTTTTTTTCCTGGTTTTTCTGGCTAGCTGCAAATGCGGCTGCTCACGCAGCCAGAAGTTTCCAGGCTCAGGTCGCTGGAGTTTTCCATCTTCTCCCTTAGATGTTGCTGAAGGGCAGATGTAAAGAGCCTCAGATTCAGGGCATAAGCCGTGCAGTAGGCCTGGGGTGCAGACCGGGGGCCTCTAGCTGTGGGACGGGACAGGCCTCAGGTCTTCATGCATGAAATGAGTAACGGCCACATCTCTGCATGGGACACGATGGCACACGCAGTAAGGGCCAGCATTACTTATCATGAGACCACAGGGAAAGGCCTTCTCCATGCCACAATGTATGCTGCAAATCACCCACGTTGTCTTAACACACAAAGGGCTTTATTCTCAGACTTCCTTTTCAGACTTGCCCTTGTCCCATCTATTCAGCAGCCTCTTGGGCAGTCACTTTTTCTTTTCTTTTCTTCTCTGATTTTATTTTTAAGTAATCTCTAAACCTAACAAGGGGTTCGAACTTACAACCTCGAGATCAAGAGCCATGCGCTCTACCAACTGAGCCAGACAGGCGCTCCAGAGGGTCGTCTATGAAAGTCATGTTGTTTTGACCTCCTGAGCCAGCAATTTCACTCCCACTAATTCATCAGCAGTGGAAGTATTATTTTTTTTTAAATTTTATTTATTTATTTGACAGGCAGAAGTATTATGACCTTAACATGCACTGAGCACCTACCCGAGGTCGGGTACTATGCTAAGTGCTTTGCAGGCATAATCTTATTTTTTACTGTTGTTACTATCGCCTGTCCAGGGTCACCAGCTTGTGAGGTACAAGCAGTGTGGGTTCAAAGCCCGAGTGTGTACCGTGTGCACACTCAGCCTCCTCTCCGCGCTCCCGCCACAGGCACCAATGGTTCACGCAGCCTAGAAGGCCTTAACAAAGGATTTTCAGCCCCGGGGTGTGCTTGTTAGGGAGAGAGAAGGTGGCGGATCTGTGAGTGGCCCCTGGAAGCAGTTTCTAGGATACATTTCCGGTGCAAACCGGGGGGTGCACAATAGTGTGTGGCCAAAAAGAAAAAAAAAACAAGATTTTATGCACGTCTATGCTTGTACGTGTGAAAGCAATTTCCAAGGACTTACAGGGAGCTGTTAATTACAGTTGCTTTGGGAAGGGAAAGCCAGGATCTGAGGTGAGAGGGAGATTGCTTGTAATTGTATACCCACCTGGATTTTCTGATTTCTTTAAAAGCAACGTATAGGCTACTTTTTCAAGTTAAAAAATGTTTTAGTGCATTGAGGACCAGATACGTCTCCACGTGGATGCGCTTTGGCAGAAAGAGCCTTGAAACAAATCCAAAGCTGCAATCACTGCCTTTCTCCCCAGAAGGAGCCTCCTCCTGCGCGCCCGGACTGTTTTGACACCCTCGGTGCACACAGGCCGCGGCAGGAACCTGGCTTGCAGCCTGTACCCCCTTACCCAGAAGGAAGGCATCCTCCGCGCGCTCCCAGCGGCCAGGTCCGCGTGCAGAATGAGGGGTAGATCCTGGGCTTCTCCAACTCTCCTGTACTGAACGTGCATTTGCTTGTTTTTTTTTGTATTTTGTTTTGTTTGTTTTGTTTTATTTTAATTAACCTCTTACTTTGTAAGAGACCCAGCTCAGACACCTGATCTTCCAGGAGCACTCCCGGGGCATGGTGGACCCCTCCCAGGTTCTCCCTGCATTTGACCTTGACGGCACTGAAATGCCTCGGATTATAAATGTCCTTCACTCCTGTCACCCACAGGAAACCTGGGGGGAACTGGGGCTGTTTCTGTACACTCTGGTCTTCCCTGCACTTGCACCCGTGCCTGTCACTAGCGTCACCAAACACTCCCAGGAAGCTACACCGGGCGAGCTGTTGCATGAAGGGAGCTTGATTTGCAGCCAGTGAGGCGATCACAGGGAGTAACTTGGGACTGGGTTCCTTTTAGTGAGGGTTAGGATGAATACTTAGCTAGGGAAGCCCCCTCATTGTACATAGAGGCCGGCCTAGGGTCACGCGTGCGCCTTGAGGAAACTCGCCCGTGTGTACATTGTATGTTGTATAAATGAGGCTTGTGCTCTTCCTTGGGTGGAGATTTTAGTATTACAAGGAGGTAGAGGCAACTGTCTGTCCCTCCATGGGTCACTCCACGGTCCACGTGCGCAGGCGTGAGTTGGGGGTTAAGCGCAAACCGGTTGGGGCAGTCTGGGCCTCCGGAAGTCTTTGGGCTCTTGCTGCTGCTTGAGGGGTAGTTTTGGGTTCAGTCACAATTGCTGTGGCCCTCAGGTCTTTTACCTGAGTTAAGACATACACTGGAAAGAAGAACTTAAGGAGGGGCGCCTGGGTGGCTCAGTGGGTTAAGCCTCTGCCTTCAGCTCAGGTCATGATCTCAGGGTCCTGGGATCGAGCCCTGCATTGGGCTCTCTGCTCAGCGGGGAGCCTGCCTCCCCCTCTCTCTCTGCCTGCCTCTCTGCCTACTTGTGATCTCTCTCTGTCAAATAAATAAAATCTCTAAAAAAAAAAAGAAAGAAAGAAAGAAAAGAACTTAAGGAAAAATGTGGGACAAAGTTTAGTGGGTACAAATGGGGTGGGGGGGCGGTCAAGGCCAGGTCTTGGGGTCCAGCTGATGACACTAGTAGAGTCTGCTCAAGGAGTATTTAACCACTGGACGTGCTGGCATTCCGATGTGGCTGACATTCCCATGTGGCTGACGGTGGTCCACGCACATGGACCATGAGTCCCCAGCACACTGTGCCTTCTACCAGGCTCAGCTCCTGGCTGAGTCCCTGTCGTCAGGCAGTAAAGGTTCCGAGGGCGGGCTGTGCCCAGGCTGAGTCCCGAGGACACCGACAGGCAGCACATGTGCCATTTGGCGAGTTTATTGGTTTAGCACAGCGCCGTCAGGGGCTGTCCAGGGACCAAGGAGCCGGAGGGGTGGGGGGCACGGGGCACAACACGATTTCCTCTCATCTCCACCAATGTGGCCCACAGGTTCCAGAAGCTGGAGAAGAAGGCGAAGGAGCAGGAGCACTGGACGCGGCTTCGCAGGTATTCCTTGCTTCTCCAAAGAGAGAACTTCAGGAAGTGACCGGGCCGCTGCTCTGGGCTCTCTGAGAAGGTTGGCCGCAGGCAGGCTTCCCCCGAGGGTGCCCTGAGGCCAGGCGACGCGGGGACAGGGCTGCAGCTCAGTAGGCCCAGGGACCTGGACGGGCAGTCCGGGACGGCAGCAAGGGAGAGCCATGCTCGGGGGGGGGGGGGCTTCAACTCTAAGCCACTTGTGAGAGCCCTCAGGCGGACGATGTGTCACCCCAATAAACAGCGATACTGTTTCCAGCCCCCAGAGCTGCTGTGGTGTGTGACTCTTCCTTCCCACCCAGTCCAGACCCTAGCGGGGCCCAGGCAATGGTTTCCGGCAGTGTCCTGGGCCTTGTGAGGACCACTCGCCTTCTGGGCCCCGGAGAGTCCCTTTGCTCCCATGAGCAAGACCCCAGGCTCCCCCAGCGACTGTGTGGCTCTCTTTCTCCCCACCCGCTTCTTTCCCTCTTTGCACTGGAGTCACTTTGGAGAGGCGGAGGCTCCCTCAGAGTGGCTGGGCACTGCCTGAGGTCACAGGGACCTGAGAGGGCACTTGGGAGGCAGGGACGGTGCCACTCCTGCCGCTGGCTGCTGGCTTGGAACCCTAGAGGAGGCCGGGGGACTGGAGGACAGGAGGGGTGGGCAGAGAGGTGACTTTGTCTTCTCTGGAAACTTCCCTCCCAGGCAAACAGGCCAGAGGGTTGCCCCGTCTCAGGGCCTCCGCCTGCCTCTCTGAGGACACCCTGTGGCCCCTCTGAGAACTGCAGGTGGCTGACACGTCCCAGCCTCCCCGTGATTGCGGCAGGCAGGGTCTGTGACAGGCAGCTCCCTTTGTGTCCCCATCCCTCTCCTCCCTAGGATCGCACACGCTCCTCATCGCCAAGACACATCCTTCACAGTGCTGGTATTGATTGCAGAATGTCCCCAAAGAAGTCCCCCCACCCAGGCACTCTGTCCCTCGCCCTCCCACGGCGGGAGCAGAGACGGCAGCAGCGGCAACTTTCACAACAACCCTCTAGCTCCACCCGCCAGGCACTGTGGCCACTCTCTTTTGAGGTGAGGGAGGAAAACTTAGGATGGTGGCCATGACCTTACATACACTGAATGGGGCAGGGAACGAAGGTTTACGGGACACCATTGTGATTGTGGGCTCGACCTGTGCGCCTCAAGTGACCTAGTGAGATGGAGATATTGTCATTATCCATATTTCCCAGAAGGGAAGTTGAGACTCAGGTTACATGGCCTGGAACAGCCTGGATCAAGTCCTAAAAGACTTCTTCATCAGCAAGTGTCAGATACTCAAATGAACTTTCAGGTTGGCTCATGTAATGTTAAAAATCCAGGTGTGATTCTTTCCCCGCGGCTGGGTCCAGGTGTTGGAGAAATCAGGACTCTCTTTCCAACTCTGTTTTGATTCCCCTTTCTGGGAGGCCCACTGCTCGGCTGGCAATGTGACCGCCACCACCCCCCACAGCGAGTGTCCCTTTCTCAACAGTTCCAGCAAAGTCCAAAGCCTGCTTCTCACTGGTCTGAATGTGGTCACATTCTGGAACTACTCAGGGGCTGACTGTGCAGGCCTGTGACATGGGCCCATCCCTGGAGGGACATGGAGGTCACGCCCACCCAAACTAAGGAGGGCAGAGCTGTCTGAAGACAGGAAAATGCCAGGTCACAAGGGAAGAAGGCAGGAGGGGTGCTGGGCTGGCCCTGTCCTCCTCCTCCAAAGTCACGTGCCACCCAAACCAGGCCACCTCCTCAGTTGCCCAGTGTGTATGGGGAGAGCAGGGAGGGGTGAGGGGAGCTGGGACAGTCACAGGGAGCCTCCTAGGACAGGTACATGGCGGGGGGGAGGGAGGAGGGCTGAGGACCCCAGGCCCAGCAAAGTGCTGGGAAAATGGGCAGATGAGGCCTGAGCAGCACTGAGCTGGGGACCCATGGCCCTAGCCCCCACCAGGGCTGGTGTACCACCAGGGCTGAGCGGGCGGTGCCAGTGGTCCCCAAAAGAGGTCCTTGCCCACTGGGTGACAGAACCCCTCAGAAGCACCAAGAACCTTGGGAGTTCTCAGGGGAATGTTAGAACTAGTATATCAGTCAAAGGAGAGCCCCAGGTGTCATAGTTAGGACACATCACGCTCAGGGTTGTGCAAACACAGGGATGACCTCTGGTGAGCGGGCTGGGCAGAATGGCTCCTGGCCTCACCCAGGACAAGCAGGGCTTTGCAGTTAGGCCCAGCTTCCCTCCCCAGCCCTGGGCTACCCTCCTTCTCCAGATACTGGCGGTTCCAGAATCCTAGCGCATCCGCGTGCCCCACAGATGGCCCTGTTTACTGAGCAACACGTGGCTGGAGGGACGTCTGGGCTCGGCCTCCTCCAGGTGCGCCACCCAGGCGCACAAGGCCTGGCCCGGCCTCAGTCCTATCACCTCCCATCCACGGACAGACAACCCATGACCACCAGCCCCTGTCTTCCCCCGGGGTTCATACAGTGACCCATGTAGCCTGCCCTTGAATCAATGGCTTAAATATGAAACCATCAGCTGTCCCTCCATAGGACGCAGCCCGTCAGCATCAGCGCCCACACAGTGTGGCCTTCTCAGTGAGAGCAACATCTCCGCTCGGCAAGCAGAGGCAGCTTCCTGCTACGGCAAGAACACCGGGGGCCAAGGTGCATGAGGGGCCTGGTTCTGTCCTCCCAACACACACACACACACACGTGCACACACACGTGCCTGCCAGGACGATCCCAGAGACCTGATCCGTCAACCACCAGCCACGGGTGTCCGCGCCCGTGGACCCACCAGCCGGGTACCAGCTCTGTGAACAACTCCCCGTTCTCTGTGCTGCTGTGTCCCGCTCTGGAAAACAGGTCTAACTCCACACACCTGCCCCTCAGCTGTGGGTCCCACGCTCAACCCACGTGAGGTCAGTTGTTGAATTTGCAGCCCTCGCCACGGAGCCTGGCTGACGGGAACCGCTCCGTGAGCCCGTGCCCCGTGGGTTCTGACCCCGCCAGCTGTGAACGCAGCTTCTCAGGAAGGAGGCAGCACCCGCCAGCGGCCCGGTGGGGCTCCCTGGGCTCAGCTGGCCTCTGGCTCCGGCCTCCCAGCAGGCACGCGCCTTCCCCACCCAGCCAGGGCCTCAGGTGATGGAGGGGGCGCTAGCCAGTACCCTGGGTGCCCGTCCTCGGGACAGACTGGTGTTCACCTGTGTGCGCGCCCCGGGAGGCTGCCCTCCCATCGGGGCCCAGTCCGACGCTGCCGCTGGCCATCTGCTGGGGCGTGTTCTTAGCCTCTCCTTCCTCCACTTTCCCAACCTCACCCTGGCCCCAGCAGCTGCCACTTTCACAGGCCGGTTAGCTGAGAACTGAGAGTCGCCTACCTGGACGCTGCTGGCCATCCCGGTGCCTCGCAACGGGGACGCAGGCTCTCCTCCTGGCGCGGGGGGCGGGGGGGCGCAGGCGCAGGAGCGGTGCGAGGGGAGCCCTTCCCAGCCCCAGCCCTCTGTCTTATTAGCAGAGACGCGCTAATGAAAATTCACACCCGGGTGCTAACAAACACCGGGCCGCGGCCGCTCCGAGAGGGAGGCGAGGCTCTCCGCAGGGGAGGGCGCTGGCCAATGAGCTCCACTTACCTGTGAAAAGACTTGCTAATAACTTTAATTCCCCATCCTAAACCGCAGGGCCTTTGCCATGCAAACAGATTTTCTAAATTGGGCAGGCCCCTGGAAAGGCCTTCCCACTCGGCTCCGGTTAGGGTCCTGGGAGGGGAGGTGTGGGAAAGGGGGTGGTCAGCGGAGGTGTGAGGTCTGCCCCCCGCAGGGCCTCTGCTTTCGGATCCCACTCTCTGCGGCCAAATGCTGGCCAGGGTGCGCCCCGCCGCCTGAATGACACGGCCGTGCCGCCCGCCCGCTCTGAGTACCCCCCACCTTCCGGGCCCAGCCGAGCGCTGGAAAGGATCTCTGAGATGGTTTCAAAACAAACCTATCAGTATCCACGGCTAAACAGCCCCGGGTGTGTCCGTGCAGGGGGCCATCCCTGGGCGGTAAGAAGTACCAATGCCCGAAACCACGTGGCTAAACCCTGAAAATGCTCTGACAGGGGAAAGAAGCCGGACACCGGGGACTTCATGTTGTGTGGTTTCTCTCATGCAAAATGTCCGGAACAGGCAGATCGACGGAGGCGGGAAGGAGCGGAGTGTGCTGGGGTGGGGGGATGGCGTAATGGGGAAGTGCCTGCTAATGGGCACAGAGTTTCTTTGGGGGGTGGTGGAAATGTTCTCAGTTTAGGGGTGCCTGGGCGGCTTAGTCGGTTAAGCGTCTGCCTTTGGGTCCTGGGAATCGAGCCCCGCATCTGGGCTCCCTGCTCAGAGGGAGCCTGCTTCTTCCTCTCTGCCGCTCCCCCGTTTGTGCTCTTTCTCTCTCTTCAAATAAAATCTTAAAAAAAAAGTTCTCAATTCAGACAGTGGTGATGGGTGCATAACTCTATGAATACACTAAAACCACTGAATTATAAAGTTGAATTTGATGGTACATAAACTGTATCTCAATAAATCATTTATAAAAAAAATAAATACGAAGGCCTGTATTTCAAAGATGCTTGAGGGAGAGGGGAGAACTCAGTACCCATCCACAGAGGGCCTTTGGGCCAAGGCTACTTCCCTTGGCTCCCCCTCCACCCCCCTCCCCCCACCTCGCCGACATCTGACTGCTTCCTATACCCCTTGAGCAAGGCCAGGGTCAAGGCTTTCCTCTTCCCCATACAGCACATCCCTGATCAGAATCCAGCAGTGTAGTCAGGAGTGTGGTTCCAGGTCAGCTGTGTGGCTCCAGAGGCAACCCCCACGAGTCTCTCCACCCCAGCTAGGCCACCGGGAGGTCACAGTTACACGAACCAGGGACTGACTCACTGATGTTAGTTTATGTCCCTAAACCACCAGGGAGAGAAATCAGAGTGAAGGAGATGAAAAAAACCCCAAGGTCTAGGCCATGATGCTATAGCACAGGGGGAGAAAGGGCTTGGGACGCCTGACATGAACCCTTGGTAGCTGGTGTCCCCTCAGACCGCAGAGCTGGCAAAATCCTACTGGGGATGAGAACTCAGATTCTGAATTC